ACATTCCCTCACGTCCGATCCGGGCGGGAGAAGTTATTTGACTATTTGCACACAACAAAAAAGGCAGAAACCAGAAAACTTTGAATATAGAACGCAATTTCTTCGAGACAACTGCTAAGAATCCTCTACTACTTTGGTACATAGAAAATCTCTGCCTTAGGATAGATACTTTTTGTTAGAAGCAGAATAGCAGCGCTCTCAGATAAACTTAAAAAATTAAAACAGAATGAAGATGGCCTCTTTCTTTCTTCCTTCTTCATCGCTCTGCCGACGTTTATGATACTACTAGCAACTCACTCTCACGCGCTTTTATAGCCTATAGTTCTCAGGAACATTTTAGCTATCTATCAGTGATAAAATTTTGGCAATCCGACCAGCGATTCCAAAGATTACTCCCTACATACAAACTTACAAATTTTACCTCTTTATAATATTAGTATAGAAGTATAGACTTGTAGGGAGCAAACATGGATCCTTTACTTTAAATTACGGCTTTTGGTAACATTTAGACAGCAATATACCACTGCTGGCTGGGCAACTGGCTATTGTGATACGCATCGCAGATTCGATTATCACACTTAACAACACTTCGTATGATCTACAAACTGATTTTTAGGGTCTGGGTGGCTTGTGTATTTGTATGTCTGTAAACGCACTCACAACACAGAAAAAAATCATAGTGTAAGGCATGGTTTTATAAAGTAGAAAAAGTACTCGAGCAGGGATAAAAGACGGGTCTCGGGCGCCTTGGGAGTCTAGGTTCCTCTTCTTCGCGAAGTGATTGAGAAAAAGTTTCTAGCGATCGCAAGAAACTAATCAAGTATTGTAGCCTACATATAGCCATCGAGACACACTAAGCATTGGTGCCATCCTAATCCTCTAGCCTCCGATAGTTCCCGATACATTGGCTATCACACACAAACAATTTTCGGACCCTCAACTTTTGGCACCCCAAAAAAGCATTAGAAGGTGTGACGTAAGCAAGGGTGGGTTCATTGAACTTTCATCCCTAGTAGCGTAAACATGAGTCAATGACCTTGCAATGAGGGTTAGAAATTTTGTTAGAAAATGTGACGTCACGCTTCTATGGGTAGAGAAAAAAATTCGACTGCGGTCGTCGATCGTGTGCGTGTCCTTAGAGACAAGTTGTAAATTGTGGAGGGTGCGTTTATTGAATGCCAGTATTTCTTTTCTATCAATAATAAATGGGCTGGCAATCTGTTCTTTTGTCGCCGGTTCTTTCTGACGATAGTGTCTAACAACCCATTTTTGTTTTGTGAGTGGAATATCCTTAAGTGACTTCTCGCCCAGGGTAAGGCGAGAAGTATTGTCAGACTCTTACTGACTAAAAAATCCCCTCATTCATTCTGTTTCAGGCCAAGGCCGCGGTAGTCTATTACTACCTGATGATTTTAATCGCAAAGTAAGCGCTTAATCGCAAATTTAGCTCAGTTATCCCCTTGCTTAGGCTGAGCACCGCCGCGTCCTCAGGGAAAGGATCGGAAGCAGCGAATTCTCGCGTCGGGCATCGAGGACATGGAGCGGAAAAGGAACGTAGTGGTTTTTAGTCAGTAACAGACTGACAATTCCTCACAAATTGACGATTTCTCCCCCCCCCCCCCCCCCCCCCACACACAAAATCACTATTATCCCGTAAGGATTGTTCTGGGTTCTTTGGCAGGTAATACAAATCTTGTGTTTTTATGGTATTGGTCGGCAAAAGAGCAGATAGATTACCTGATGGTAAGCAATCAGCGCCGCTCATGGACACCCGCAACAACGGACGAGTAGGTAACGACTGCGTTGCAAAGCGAAACACAACGCTGTGGTTGTTTCACGTCGGTTTTCTATGAGGCCGTGGTATCACTCCGGTCGACACGAGCCATCTCTCTCAAACTCTAGTATTCGTTAGTTATGGCACCTGCTTCTTCGTACTTGAAAAGTAAAAACCTGTAGCCAACCTGTTGACAACTAGTTCGACTATTTGCTTTAATACAAGAGCCGGACAACGGACTGTTGTGGCTTTGGTTAGGTTAGCCATTTTTGCCATCTGATTCCGGAGTATGATTTTAGAAGATATCGATAGTTCTGTTAGTTTTAAAATCCTAGTAAGCCGGCAACGTGGTTGGTTTTGGATCGGTCACTCCAGAGTCACCTAGATATGGTCGAGGTCATCGAGTTCCATACCTACCTACTTTGCACTTAACACTGTTATAGATATAATTATGTATGCATTAGGAACAAACAATATTTTAACTGTTTTCGTGCTTTGGCACGAATTTGCAACATTCTAAGACTTATTTTGCGCCTAGGCTACTGCCCCATCTTTGGGTCCCAGATCTTTGTTCATCTCTTACGACAACAGTTTGAAAGAAATGGTAACAAAATATATTTTACCTTACCTTTACTAAATAGCTCATAAATTACCTAACAATAAACCAAATACCCTTTTTTCAAAAACATACTCTGACCCATTAGAAAGTGGATTCCATTCTATACCTAATGGAATTTAAATTTAAGTCCAATTCACTTTGTCTGATCCTTGGAAGGGGTCGAGTAATATAATAAAATCTGATACTACGTTGATTAATCGGATTCATTAAACCTATGTAGATATTTATTGTGGAGGGTCGAGGAAAAGCTCCTACAGATAAATAGGTACGTTTATAAGTAAGTATTCTATATACTTCAATAAAAAGTAATTTAGTTCATCTTGTGTACAACTTCCCTACAAATAAACCCGTACATGTTATAGGAGCAACATACTTTTGTATGCGTAGGTAGGTATAGGTACACAACCACCAGATTATAGACAAGGCTGCAAGGGCGGATCCACCGTTGATGGGCACGATGGGCATGCCCACAACCTTAATACACTTGTGATTGAAATAGGTTTGGATCGAAACTGACTATTAGAAATTAGAAGAAATCGTGTCCGACTTCTTCCTAAGTTTATTTACATTCCTAAGGCCAAAGTCCTGATGCTCAGAAAAAAGGAAATCTAATTCATAAGTTCATAAACGATTTGCATGATTGTTAATGAGCATGTCCATGCTCCGACTCGTACTTAGCCGTTTTTCTAGTAGCTGTGACCACAACCTTTTTTGAAGGCTGGATCCGCGCTTGCAAGGCTGACCCTACTACAAGCAATATTCATTTTTTAACAGGAACTTAATATACCTATATTACTATTATATACCTTATTGGCTGATTGCTATTTTAGTATTGGTAGGTACTAAATAACATTTATGAAGACTAGCTACACAATGCAGAGTTCAATATTTAATAGGTAGCATCATCCATTAATTAATCGTGTAGCACAGTAACAAATAGAATTACGAGATAAGTACGAGATTTAGGAAAAAAAAAATTATTGTAAAAGGTTCACTTCAACTCTTAACGCCATCTTGTATCCAAAAATAGCAATATTGAAAACTAATGCTATTACTCAAACACAGATGGCGCTACATCTGAAAGTTGATATTAGGAAACTGATTACCATAAAAGGAAATTCACATTTGCCTCAGTATTTTGAGTCAAAATTTAGCTTGTTTTTATGCTACAGATGTGACGCTCCATTTTGGATTTTATCACAAGCAGGTGTGTGTGCTTATGCTGGTGCATAAACACAGGCATCTACTCACTGACAACTAGATATCGCTATTAGCATCCACAGCCATACTCAAATGATATTGTTGTGTTGAGCCGAAGTTATTTTACTTACCGATATTAATACCCATGTATATACATATATAAAGACAGCATTTTTTCGCCATGTAAGTGAGGTTACCGGAGGCCTAATTATTCGCTTCTCCCCATGCCTCCTTATTCTTTAAATATTCGATACCCTGATCCCCAAAATGCAGGCATCTTACACATAACTTCTTTGCCGTAATCAGTATGCTAGTTTACCGACTTACTTTATAAAAAATATAATAATATATATACATCCATCAATAATATACATACATCGATCATTGAAATAAGAAAAAAACGCAGTAAAATATATTAATCCCAATACAATTGTCTCTCAAACTGACTACCTTAATTCCCCAATCCAAAAAAAGTTGCCAACACACTTGTAACCTCATCTCCGGCCACCGTAAGTCTGCGGTCGGCGAGTAAGGGCAGCTCGCCGCCCGACCAGAACCAGGCCCGAGCGTACGGCGCGTAGCGTTCGCGCGCGCCTCAAAGAGCTAATAGACCACCACAGACGGGGCCCTAAAGGGCTGATGTTCAGCCGGGGTTGCGGGGTAAGCGCAATGAGGCACCGCGACCTCGGCCTAGAGCAGGAGAAAGAACAGGGGGGTTTTTAGTCAGTAAGAGTCTGACACTCCCTCCCGCCCGGCTCTGGGCAGAAGCAGTCAATTGATGATTTTCCCCTCGAAAAAAAAATGGGGTATGCACGAACAACCCTGATTGCTAACTATCTGTTAATTTGCCATATCTATACTAATAAACATGTAAGTTGGCTAGTTTGTATGTACGAGTAATCTTTCGAGCCGCTGGTCGGATTGCCAAAATTCTTTCACTGATAGATGACAATGTTCCTTATATATCTTCGTACAATGTTCGAATAGGTTATAAAAATCACGGTACGATCAAAAAGAGCCGAACAGCGGGTGAAACAGCGTGATAATAGCTAGTGTCACATAAAAAGAAAAATACCTCTGGTACGTTTACACTCTTACTGAGACTTGGCAAACGTTCACAAGCTCCAAGTCTTTACATGCCGTGTAAATACGTGCGTCGCAAACGCTTGCCCCAATTTTACTTCGAGCTGTGTCCAAAAAACCGACACCGGACGGGATCGCCGACAAGCCCTTGCAAGCCACGCCAAATGTTTAGAGGCTTGTATATGTGGATGCTCGTAGAGGCGTGCCAAGCGTGTAAACATACCATTAAACTATTAACAAGGGGAATCACATATATTGTATTAGACGATTATATAACTTTTAATACGATAATGTATCAGAAGTTGATAACAAGGATTAATACACGCCGATAAAAACAATTCATTCAAGGAAACAATTGGACTGTGGTCGTAAATCGTATATTTTGTAACTATTACTTTCATAATTTTCTATCTCGCCATGTGGTTGCCGATTTCACATCTAAACAGCTCATGCCCTGTTGACAAATAAAAAACTTAATTAAGTTTATTAACATTTGAAAATCAGCGCCGCGACACTGTCTTGTATGATGTCGCTGCATAATGCTGAGCGAGGGCCATTTCGGGTGCTCGGACGCATATTTTTCTCCTACCCTCTACTTTTGTTGTATTGTGTTATCATTGTTAATTACCGAAGTAATCGATGACCTTGTGAAGCAACTAATAGGGTTGAAATTAAACCACGTATATAGTGCTTGAAGTCTTGAACTGCTGGTTCGTATATTTGAACTATTGAACTACACAGATTTCAACTGCACTGGTTTGAACTGGTTTTGCACTGCACTGGTCTGAGATGAACTGTTTAACACTGCACTGGTTTGAACTGGCTTCTGAACTGGGTTTTGAACTGGGTTTTGAACTGGGTTTTGAACTGGGTTTTGATCCGGCTCGAAGGACCAATGTCATCGATTACTTCGGTAATTAGGTAACAATCATTCTTTATGTATTTTTATTTTTATTATTGTTCGTTTTGTGACTTTTATGCCTCCCAGACGCGAATAAATACCTTTTGTTTGTTTGTTTGTATTTAGTAAAATAGTATTAGGTGTTGTGACAACACACATTGAAGATTGGCAACATTCAACTGATGACGTCACAATTCCTAAGTGAAGTATCGCTGGGTGTTTGTTACTCCTTCACGTAAGAACTACTGGATGAATATTGATGAAATTGGCAAGATAGACCGTAGTAACTAAGTTATGCAGCCTGAAATATAAGAGTATATTACCTTGATGAGTGGCGACGTGTTCTCTCAATTTCTTTATACTGATGAACTGGGCCTGGCACACGCGGCATTTGTAGTGGTAGTCCACTATCTGTAATCACAAAAACAATAAAATAAAATCAGCATTTATTTGCATTGAATATAAGTACTATATGTAAGTTTATCGAAGTGTGGGAGTGTTAGGCTTCGGCACGAATGGGTCGGCTCGACCGTAGTGATACCACGGCCTTACAGAACACCGGCGTGAAAAAACCACAGCCCTGTGAATTACTCAAAGGCCCAATCCTTCCCTTCCCCCCATCACAAAAGGCCGGCAATGCACTCATAACTCCTTTGTTACTACGAGTGTCCATGGGCGGCGCTGATTGCTTACCATCAGGTAATCCGTCTGCTCTTTTGACATATGACATAAAATCAATGTCTATATAAAATCACTAGCTACTCTCGCGCGGTTTCTCGAACAAATCGTAGCGTGATTTTTTATAGCCTAAGGCCTTCTCCGATAAATATACTACACAAAAAGTTCATTTCGAACTAGTAGTTTCTGAGATTAGCGCGTTCAAACAACCAAACTCTCCAGCTTTATAATATTATATTATAGTATAAATCGATAATAATCCCTTACCTCAGCCAAAATAGAAGATATAACAGCTTTGTATTTCTGTACATCTTCTGAAGTGTGTGTCTTGAAGTGAGCCAGTAGATTGTATACAGTCACAAAGGAACGAGTGCAGATGGGGCATGTGATGCTCTCTGAGGATGGAGAAAACAACTTATTTATAACTCCTTCATCTTGGTAGACTTCGGGACGTAGCTACCACCAAATCGACCATATTACGTTGAGTGATAGAGGTTAACGGAGGCCCAATACTTCTTCCCAATCCTTGAATATCCAAAACCCTTATCCCCAAAAGGTGGGCAACGTACTCTAAGCTTTCGTGTTGCGAGTGTCCATGGGGGGGAGCCGATTGCTTACCATCAGATAATCCGTGAGCTCGTTTGCCGAACTATCCTATAAAAAAGTAGCAATAACGGACTTACTCTTAGTGGTCTTTTTAACCCCTCGCCAGGAGGTCTGGAAGCAGGGAGCACACATCTTGCAGTACGCCAGCTCCTTCATATACATCTTCATGTCATCATCATCGTCCTTTTCTTCAGATTCATCTTTCATGTCTGATGATTTCCTGGTATGAGGAATTTTATAAGGTTACACCTAGTTAGTTAGAATCAAGAATGTTGTAATCTTTTGCCTGCAGCTTTGCTCCCGCTCTAGCCAACTCTACCTTAACATTGCTAACTCTGTTCTAACCTTTTTTTGAGGCTTCCGGCGACTGGTACCACACAATCTCGAACCACGTTCTCAGTAGCAGGATCCGTAAAAATTTAATAATCTTCTTTTGGCGATTGGGACTACGGATAAATTCAAATTGAAGTTGCATGAAGCCTATTTTTTAAATACGATGTTAAACCATGATGTGACTAACGATGGAGCACACCACCCATAGATATACTATAACTAATTTACTTTGTGGGAAAAAAAACTACTATGGAATTCCACTCCTTAAAAAAGTCTAGGCGAATCACGTTGTAAGTTTACCCAAAATTTTATTTTTATAACTTAATCACTGTAAATGTAAATTTCATGTCACTAGAGGCCTTGAAGTTAACAGCTGATCAGGCGATGCACGGCGGGCGGTTTTTTTTAAACAAAAAGTTTTTTGTAAGAAGAAGAAAAAGAATCCTTTGGGAAAGTTTTTTGTTATCATGAGTACAATCATGTGCTTAAATATCATTCACTAACAACCAGCAACCCCAAATAAGTAAAATAAATAACTAGCTAACCTGTCACTTGCGGTAATCAACTTGTACACAGCTGAAGAAGATTCTTTCGGTTTGTATGCAACAAGGACTTCTCCGTCCTTACTCTCTTCTTTACTTAGAATCACCTCATCCGTAATATGGTACGCTTTAGGTCTCCGTGATGTAAGGCCAAAAGTTGTCAGTACTTTTTTCTCCTTGTACCGTGGAAGTACGCACTGGAAGATTTCAGACTTCTTGTCACCGTCTTCGTTTTCAACGCATGTCTTACTCCATATTGTCGTCTCTGGTTTTCCTGTAAGTTTTTATTGAGTAATTTCATTACGGAGATAATTTTTTGGAGAGCATAATTAGGTTGAGTGCATAAGCTATGTGTGATAGTCTTGATAGAGTCAGTTTAATTGAGTTTCTAAAAACTAAACATTTGTAATGCAATTAGCGCACCACCCTTTAGGCCACCAAGAGGACAAAATTATAATTTAATGCCATACCAGAAGATGATCATGACAAAAAAGTAACAATACCCTGCCATCCATTCATAAAAGGGTAAAGAAAAGGGGCCCTGAGAATTACATTGCCTAGAAGACCTCGATTGAGTTACTTTGGCTGTAATATTTAATAGTACAAACCTGTTTGTTTGTTGGGAACATTACGGAACACAACAGTTCTAGTAGAACTAAAAGTTTCTCCTCTCTCTGGCTTTAGTAAGTTGTCACAATGTTTGAAATGCTCCAAACACACATTGTTCCAGTTATTCAACCTCTTTTCATCAGTTTCCTCGTTTTTTATAGCCTTCACTGGCAAGCATAGTGGGTCATCATAGTCAGGGATCCTTATTTGACAAAGTTTTCGATCTATTGTAGGCTCTTTGGGAGGTGGATATTTCATCTTCTTGGCAGAACCTACTTTTGAAGAATTACCAGCCTCCTTACCGTGGTATGTTTTTACTTTATTTTTGACTAAGCTCTGTCGCTTTCTTTTGCCTTTCGTACTCGGCGGGCTAGCAGGAACGAAGTCATTTCTAGGATCATAATCAGAATCTTCATCATCCTTTCTCTTTTTTCGTTTACGTTCTGCCGGTTGGCGCTCAACTAGCAATGGGGTTAACTTCTCTTCGACACGGGGTACTAAATGTGGGACTTGTACTGGAACTGCTTGAACGCATTGTTGAACAATATCTGCATCTTCATCCAAAAACTCTATATCACCATCGGATTCAGCCATAACTTTAATAAAAAGGAATGAATTAACAAAGTATAACAACACAACAAATCCAGTGTCTCGTTTATTTTGACATAAACTGTCAAACCCTATATTTTATTTATTGTCTATGGATTGTCAGTCGTTTAGAAATCATCGAAACAAGCTAGAGGCCTTTTAAACGGCGGAAAATATATTGCCATGAATTGAAGCATGCTTAACAGCATCTTGTCTTTTCAGTACAAATCTACTGTTTTTTAGATGATAATACATCGGCATCGGTGATCGGTGTCTTACCTAAACTATGTTTAGAGACACACATGCAAGGCGTAGTGGGTTTTGTTGTCTGGCCGCGATTGCGATAGGAACAGCTTTGTTAAGAGTAATGTCGCGATACGATGCTTCAGGCAAATATGTCTCTATACATCACAGTCATACATTCTAGCAATAAATAAATTACCATGGCGTGGCGTTCATGGTAGAACTTTCAAATTTTCATTATTTTCGTTGTTATATTGATTTTTTGGTTGTAGGTACGTACACCTAGGCTCGCCAGTGATCACATCAATCGTAGGTACGCCCTCATAGGTACGAGTTCTGGTCTATAACAGATAATCAACTTTATCAGATAATAACAGAATCCAATCCATCGGAAAATCAGATAATCCAAAGTTCATCAGATAATTACATAGACACACAGACAGATGGCAGCCAGGGGTGCAAGCGCAATGATGAACTGCGACCCAGCTCGGTGTAGGAAGGCCGCAGATCCTGCCGGGAAAACCAATTTTTAATTCTTCCTGAGACGGTTGTGACCCTGCATAACAATCAACCACTTTTCCAGCTATATTTTTGATGTCAATTTTTAGTACATTCAACAAAAATTTCCGATTTCTAACAAAAGAAGTGATGTTATCGGTCATTTGCAACACGCTTGACACCGCAATGAAGTTAGCCTAGGTATTTCATTAACAATCAACTTTTCCTTTTGGCAAAGAAAACATTGGAAAGAGAAACTGGGTGGCTTTTAGTCCCCAGATTAATCTAGGCAAAAGACTATATTTTGTGCCAAACTTCACACCTAACACAATAAAAATAGAAAACAGTACAATCGGACTTAAAAGAAAATCACTTAGGTACATTCTTCCGGTATTTAGAATTTTACTTAATAAAATGTAAATGTGCTGTCGCAGATTGTTATCCGCGATATCTGATAAGAATCTACACTATCAGTTTAATTAAATTAATGTTGTAATTTATCCACTCAATACTAAGACCATGAGAAATTTCATTTTATGTATATGTAGAAACGTTCCACACTCGGATTTTTGTCCTGTGTCGTGTTTTTACAAACTTCACATACCTACACTTTACACGCAAACTGAGAACAAAATATTTTTGGATTGCGAGAGTTGATCCGTGCGAGAGTAGAATCCAAAACACGTGGCTCAGCTGCTTATTGCCTAGCTGCCGTTTTTTCCGCAAAGTACCTTTTGTCTAATTTGAAAACTCATGTTTATTGATCAAAAAATATTTGATGTCTCTCAAATTCAAAAAAAGGTTGGTAAAATCTTTTACCAACCTACCAACAATTTCAACCAAGGTGCTATTTTTCTGATATCCACAATACAACCATTATCCATGTGTATAATGTTCATCGCAACAGATTGTTTTTTTATCATAGACCTAAAAAAAGGACACATTTCTTGTACTTATCTAAAAAAAGAAAAACTTTCTTCTAATCTGAGGCCTAAAGATGATGATGAGAGAGCTAACCTAACTTTGCACCCATCGGATTTACCTACAAAGTAAAACATAAAAAAACGAAGAAGAGCAAGTCATAGCTCGACAAATCCAGTAAGTATTTTTATGTATTTATAATTTTCTGTAATCATTCAGACTCTCTTTGGTTTTTCAATTGACCCCTATGTAGGGTACCTACGGAAAAGTACCCTATTTTATACAAGTAATAAGTTATACGTTTATCCCAATCTTTCCCCTCCCCTAATACCTAAATCTTCAAAACGTCTAAACTCTAAAGGTCGGCAACGCAATGGTAACTCCTTTGTTGTTGTGGATTCATTGACGATGACGATTCTCCATTGACGGCGGTCTATTACTTGTTATCGGGTAACCCGTTACCTGTTTAAATGTGTGTATACATAAAAAAATAAAAATACAAAAAAAATATCAAACGAGAACAACTCTTCCTCATCTACATACCGCACCATTCGTGGAAAAAGGAAGTAAGTGATTTTCACCAACTTTTCAGGAGCTTAAAAAAACTGTCCTATATTTTTATTATGAGGTCTAGAAATATGTTTCAAAGAGAAAATTGCAGGTCACAGTTACCTTCAACTACACGTGCTATTGAATTGGGGATCAGATTGATGTACTTCGAGATAATCTAAAAAAACACGGTTACTTCTTTATTCCACGGAACACATCGCATATTTGCAGGAGTAACTACAATTATTGCTTTTTACTATTGTATTTTTAAATATATTAACTAATTTAACTCTACTTACGGCTTTGCACTCTCTTATATTTCGTTATAATCTAGAGTTGTAAGTGTAATCACGTTGTTATTTAACGAAAAATCCTTTTTTGTAAATAGAGTTACGTATTTTTAGCTAGCTATTTAATTAAGTTTAGTAGGTGTATTTATAAAAATTGCTTTTATAATACGGAAAGTAACCGAATATTAAATTTGTATCATGCAATACCTAATTCTTATAGTAAATAGTGTATGTTTGGCAAAACTGTAAATACTGAAACAAAATAATTGAGAGAAAATGAAAACAATGAGGGGTATTCTACGATCAATAATGGGTTATTGCTATAATTTTATTATTAAAAAAATGTTTATCACATGCATAATTAATCAAGAAATGTTTAAAATAGTGGTTAATTTTGTTGACCTTTATTAATTATCTTCAATTTAGGAATCAGACTCGCTGGCAGCAGATTGAATACTTAAGCTCTTCGAACTCTCGCGCCCGGCTCTAGTCGAGGCCATGGTTCGTAGCGAAAGGAACTGGGAAGCCGTCTCCTCTTTCTGCGAAGCAGTGATGCTCGCAAAGGAGGAAGCGGAGCGCGTGAGGGAACTATCCTCCTCGCGCCCCAGCTGCCGCGGTAGGCGACATTCCGGGCATCGGGGATCGAAAGATGATCTCCGGCCACCGCAACGGACAGAGAGTAAGCGTAGCTCGCGGCCCGACCTGAACCAGACCCGAGCGTACGGCGCGTAGCGTTCTGCGCGATACTCCAAGAGCCAAAAGACCACCACATACGGGGCTCTATAAGGCTGATGTTCAGCCGAGGTTGCGGGGTAAGCACAATGAGGCACCGCGACCTCGTCCCAGAGCAGGAGAACAATCGGGCGGGTTTTTATTCAGTAAGAGTCTGACACTCCCTCCCGCCCGGCCCTGGGTGGGAAAAGTCATTTGACGATTTCCCTCTCGCAAAAAAATGCTCCTTTAATAAGTCTGGTAGTGTGGAGGTATGTTATTATCTCTACATAGAACTATCGAGTCTTTGTATAATTTTCCGGACATTAAAGATATACCGAAATCTCTTTAACTTTACTCCAACTAAGTTTCTTACCAAAGTCATTCATTCCACATTCCATACATTCCATCTGCTCGTTTGCGGGTGCTGCGGGTGTCATCTGCGAGCAGATGACACCCACAGCACCAGAGGAGACACAGGTGCGTTTCCGGCTTTTTAAGAAGGAGTACGGTCGTGTCTTGAAGGTTTGGACGTCGAATCGGTCAATCATATTCCAAAGTTTTGCTGTGAGGGGTTAGGGGGTTAGGGGGGAAGTTTCGCGTGAATTGCACTTGACTGCCAACCATCTATGTGATGGGGATGAAAATGCTTTCACGTAGGACGTTAGCTAAAAGAAGCAACGGGGATTAAATCGAACAAGTCCTCAGAACACTCCCCGTGGTAAACGCGATAGAGAACACATAACGAGGCTACATCCCTACGCAGTGCCAAAGATTCCAACCGGTCCGAGATAACAGGGCAGTCAACAATTCGGACAGCTAGCCGTTGAATGCTGTCCAGAAGCTGTTACTGGGGAGAAGCTGTAGCAGTATTCCATATGGGTCTGAACTTGCGCCTTGTAAAGTAACAGGCGATGCCCCGGGGTGAAATACTGCCTCGATCTATTGACCACACCTAGTTTTTCGAGGCTAACTTGGCCTTACCCTCTAGATGACCGCGGAACTGGACTTCGCTTGATATGTCGACGCCAAGTATCCCAATACCGGCCGAGGTTGTGAGGGGGGTGCTCTGAATTTGAGGAGATACGACCAACGGCAGATTTTTAGCTGTGCACACGCAGATATTTATTAAATTTAACCGCACAAAGACACGGCTTTGTGCGGTTAAATTTAACCAAGTAAAGTCTACCCCAATCTGAGATTCTCTCTAAAGAAGTCTCGATTTCAGACAAGTCTGTTTCGACTCTCGATGACTTTTTCCCAAGAAATGTTAGCACGGCCAGCGTAAGAGGCGTGCCCCTGCTGTCATCCAACATATGATTGATATGTAGGAGGAACAGAGTGAGGGACACCAGCATTCACAGACAAGCAATCAGAGTATTCACCGTCGCCGCGATCTTTATGCTTCTGTCTGCAAGGAAGTTGGATACCCATTTACACAGGTTCTCGGGAAGCTCATTAGGAAGGCAGCTTCGAAAAAAGCCCTTTATGCCAAACCCGATCGAAGGACTTCGCTACGTCCAAACTGACTAAAATCGCCTCCTTGGACTCAATCGCCTGTGCCCAACAGGTAAACTAGGAGATCACCAGCGGACTGGCCCTTACGGAAACCGTACTGTCGGTCACTAAGAAGCTGATAATCCTCCAAGTACCGAAGGAGCTGGCAGTTAATAGATGATTAAATAATTTTAGAAGAGGGAAGTTGTGGCTATCGGTCTGTAATTGGACAGATTTGTGCGATCACCTTTTTTAGGGATCGGGTGGATCAAAGCTGTCTTCCATAATTTCGTGACTACGCCTGAAGAGTATGAGAGCTGAAAAAGACGTGTTAAGACTGGTGCCAACTCTAAAGCGCACAACTTTAACATAATGGGTTGAATTTTGTCAGACCCACTCGACTTATGGATGTCAAGAGACATGAGCGCCAATCGTACCGAGCATTGGTGAAACCGAATATCCGGCATTACACCCGTGCCATGGCAGAACCGGGCCGCTTACGCCCCCGCCATCCAATGTCGAATTTGACGCAAAGAATTAACCCAAAAGCTGAGCTTTTTCCTTTGCGTCGTGCGCCAATGATTCTCCCCACACGTGCAGAGATGAGAATGATGGTCTGCAGCAATTGCCTTCGATAGCTTTGGCGAGAGACCAGAACGCACGAGTTCCTGAAAAAAGGCGCTCAAGCCTCTCTCCAACCCTACCGATATGGTTTGATTTGGACCCGCTATGACTCTTTTGAAGGACCTGGAGGCAAAGTTATACTCCTCTTTTTAAACTTTATTTAGATCCCGCTCCACCACCGCATCAGCCAAGGCTGGGTAAGGCTTTTGCTTTATGCACGAAGATTTTCTAGAAGAAGAGCCGAACCAGGGACCGAGATCTGCCACCGACGGGGACCACAGAGGACGGAACGAAGAGTTCCATCCCTTGCAACACCACATCAGCAAGAGAGTCAGCAGCAGCGTTGGGATAATTCTGCAAGAAACCAACTCGTCTCCAAGGGTAGGATGCAAAGAAGGATCTCATGCCATCCCAATCCTTTGACCTGCAGTGCCATACGCGGCGTCCACGAGCAGCTTGGATACGCGGCGCGCCCACACAAGGCACCATACTCCGGACGAGGCAATTTTCTGATGAGCCAATAGGAGGATCGACTATTAAGTTATAGCCGTTCGGGGAGAGGTACTTAGGTACTTGCGTTTATAATGGAAATCTCCCGCGAGCCGGTGTAGGCACAATGCGGTGTAGGCGACTTGTGTTGTTCGGTGCAATACATCCAATAAGTACTTTTTACTATATACGACACTAAATCAGACTATTTTTTTTATTTCATTTCAATTTCACAAACATATTTTTATTTATTTTTTCTTGTAAAAGCAGGTATTCAAAATCACTCAACATCATTTATAAAATATTTCGCGTAATAAAGAAGTAACTGCAACTACACGTAACACGTTGTGAAGTTTTGCTGGGTAGAAAGTATGTAACTATAATCACACATAAACTATTAGCTAAAAGTTTTGTAGAAGAAATAAGTAATTAGAATTACACAATAGTCCTAGATTGTAAAAAAACAGGAACAAGTCATTATTTATATTTGCGTTATAGAGTTTATTGTAAATCTTCTTTTAAAATTTACGTAAACATTATTATGACTTTATTAGCAGGATAAATTATAAAGCGAATAAATGTAAATATGCATACCTCTATTTTATGCTGGATTTTTATGTTTTTTAAAGTCGCAAAATTTTAGTTTTTTTGCATTTATTCCTTCATTTTTGTAAATAGCTTCACGAAATTTTGACATAAGGTGTAAACCGTGATGCTCGTTTTATTTACGTAATAAAAAAATTTTGACGCAAGTTCACTTACGTCTTTTTTACACGGGTAGTGCGAATTACGTCTACACGAAACGAAACAATTAATGTGCAACATTCGAATCGACTCCGCGCCTCAAAGAGTCAGTAGACCACCTCAGACGGGGCCCTATAGGGCTGATAGTCAGCCGGGGTTGCGAAGCAGGCGCAATGAGGCACCGCGACAGGGGGTTTTTAGTCAGGGAGAAGTCATTTGATGATTTTCCCCTCAAAAAACAAAAAATAAAAGAATATCTAAACATTCGAATCGACGACCGAGGGAATTCCCCCAACTTCATCGCCTCCGATTTAAAACATGATGTAAAGGCCTAAAGATGACGTCTGTTAACGTAAACACGGATATAATTAAGCGTCAAAATCAATAATGTAATTGTTATGCCGTAAAACATGATTACCAACTGATATAGCATATCTCACTTCTAATATAGAAAGGTTTATCTACGCAGAAAAAGAACCGTGTAATCAATGGTTATAATCACCCTATATGCATTAACAACTAAACAATGATAAGTTGTCAGTTATCAGTTCCGAGATATGCAACAAGTACATTTTTTGTGCCATAATATTAAAAAGCTTAGTAATTAAAAAGCAGACTGTTGCCTCAGTCAGACTGGCTGTGAAGTGATTACTAATTACAAAAAAAAATAAGAAAGCGAAATGTGCTCGTGTCTAGCGAAAAATATTTTGGTCGGAGTTAATTTAATATTAACGGTTAGTATAAAAAAATGTTAAGTGTTTTATTTGTATTTATAAATGTTATGTTTTGATGAATCAAATTCAAGGTATAGTTCATTTAAAAACCTTTTTTTTACCGTGTATTTTTAGGTAAAACAAATTTTTTTTCATAATACCTAATTATGAAAAAAAATTTTTTTTCTCAAACTGATTTTATAACTATTATTTTATACATTTAAGTACATTTTAAACAATAACTACTCAAACTTTATAATAAAAAAACGGTTTTTTTTTTCATTTCAGGTCGCAAGCATTGCTATATTAGCCTTGGGTGTATCAATAGTGACCGGATACAAATACTTTCAGGAAGAGATATTTAATATAGAACTCGACATAGGTTTTTTGCCAACTTTTCTCATAACTTTAGGTGTAATCGCGTTTATCATATCCTTCTCTGGATGTTGTGGAGCAATCCTCGAGTCAATATGCATGCTAAAAACGGTGAGTTTTTCGATTAAAATATAATTAATTATTATTTTCACTTGTATCTCTGCAGTGGTGAGCTATTTCTAAAAAGTTAGGCTATTGTATTAAAGCAATAGCTACCAATTGATTTGTTTTTTTTTTATGGTATAAGTCGGCAAACGAGCTGACTGTAAGCAATCGGCGCTGCCCATGGACACCCGCAACACCAAAGGAGTTACGAGTGCGTTGCCGGCCTTTTGGTGATAGGGGTTGCGGATATAAGGATCGGGAAGGAATAGGGGAAGGGGCGGGTTTGGGCCTCCGGTAACCTCACTCACACGGCGAAACACAACGTTGTGGTTGTTTCACGCCGCTATTCTGTGAGGCCGTGGTATCACTCCGGTCGAGCCGACCCATTCGTGCCCAAGCTTGGCTCTCCCAGACTTAAACACTTATATAACGTAGGCACAAAGAAAAATGCGTCATGAGTAAAAAAATAAGTGCATTTCTTAAGGCTTTCTTGGTCATTTAAATCGTTTCTGTTTTTATATCGGTCAGGTTTTGTTGTAACTGTAAGTAATTTATTACTTATTTAATTTCAATTAAGTATTTTATTGGGTAATTATTTTTTGGTGGGGGATAAACAACGAAACACGTTGTTGATCCTACACTAAGTTTATATTTGGGAAGAGTAACACCTTTTACACTGTTTCACAATCCAATACGCCACGTCTTCAAACTTCCGCAATTTTGTCACTCTAAGTAGATAACCGTAACCGTCAAGTGACCTATTTTTCTTTGCAGTAGGTACTTTATAACATGTAACATATAAAAATGCTAAATTTGTCAATTTATTAATAAAATTATTTGTTTCAGTACGCCGTTTTTATGGGTATATTAGCTGTTTTAAAAGTAGCTTTCACTATATTCCTGTTTATGAAAAATTCTGAATTGTCTGACGGTGTGCAAAGGGTTATAGATGAAAGCTTTTCATCAGATCCCGGCCAAAATTTACCATTTCATGGACTTGAGTCTACTGTAAGTATATTAGAAAAAATGATATATATAACATTTCAGGTAGAAACGCTAAAGAGAATAGTCTCATATCGATATTAATTTGTAATTAAGTTGATCAGCTTGGTTTATTTCCTCGTAAAAACGTATACTTTAAATTCTTGATCTAAAGTATAAATTAGAAAACCCTACCTAAGGCGTTATGACACAAATCTAGTCTTATTTTTCTATACTAATAATGTATAGAGGTAAAATTTGTAAGTTTGTGTGTAGGGTAATTTTTGGAGCCGCTGCCTGGTTGGATTGCCGAATTTCTTTCAATGATAGATAGCTACAATGTTTCTGAGTGCTATAGGCTGAAAAACAAACGCTTCGATCGTAGCCGAGCATCGGGTGAAACGCCTGAGAGTAGTAAATGATACACGGACAGGGAAAGCGACTTTGTAGTGATGCAAAGTTGATTTCTTTCTTTAAAGTTTACTGTTCGTTGTCTAATCAAATCCAAACTTCCAAACTTAATATTATAAATGCGAAAGTAACGCTGTCTATCTGTCTGTCTGACTGTCTTTTCTTCACGCCTAAACTACTGAACCGATGTCTGTGAAATTTGCTACAGACCATAGATAAATTAACCATTTCTCGAATTACTTTTTTGCACTCCCTAAAAAAACAGCTGTCGTTTGGTTGTCAATTCATCGACCAATCACAGCGGGTGAAGTTAAACCCCGCCCCACGGTTGTCTGGTGACTTTGATTTCAAACAAAAACGTAAAGATGCTATCTCTATGGTTAATTTCTCTATGTTGAGAAAGGACATAGGATAGTTTTTATACAAAAAAAATTGCCGATAATCACTATTCTACGCGAACGGAGTCGCGGGCAAAAGCTAGTGATAAATATATTTTTACAGTTCAAATGTTGCGGCACTACAGGTCCAGATTCTTACATCAACGACTACAACTTGACATCGCCAACGTGTTGCGAAAAGTTTAATGAAGACCCAACAACTACTGATGATGCGAATAGGATTTGTACAAAAGACGAAGCCTATCCACAAGGGTGTTCTCAATTAATAAGAAATTTATTTTATGACACACTTAAAATAGTTGGTTTTATCCTGATAGGGTTTATAGTTTATGAGGTAAATATTCTTTTATATAATGTGCAGTCTACAGATTGTTTTGTATGTGTGATTTAAACTTAAAGTATTTTTTTACGTCGTAGGTCGTCAAACGTGTAACCGTATTACCTGATGGTAAGCAATCAACGTCGTGGGGGAAGGTCGTAGTGGCCCCGAGGTTACGGCGCCCGCTTGTCAAGGTTGGAAACCTGGCAAGTACCAATGAGGCTTTTTCCGAGTTATACGTATTTTCTATGATTATGTAGACATCACTGACATACGGTGAAGGTAAACATCGTGAGGAAACCTGGACTTATAGTTTCACATCGCCAATCCGCATTGAGCAAGCGTGGTGAGTAATTCTCAAACCTTCTCTGAGTGAGAAGAGGCCTTTGATCAGCAGTGGGCACTTAGGCTGATGATGATAATGATAAAGCAATCAACGCCGCCCATGGACACTCATAGTAAGTAGGTACCTAAGAAGTTACTACTACAAGTGTGCTACCGGCCTCTTGTGGGTTATTGGGGATTAAAGGATAGAGGATTTGAGGATTAAGAATGGGAGAAAAAGGCCTCTAGGTAACCTCACCCATGCGGCAAAAATCCCTATTGACACACGAAACATTAATTTTAAATAAACAAAGATATAATAAAATAATGTAAAGATACAAAAAGAAAGCAATAATACTTAATCTTTTTTTTTTCAGATCCTGACATTGACATTTGCTTTGTATGTCGCCGCAACGATACAAATGAAAATAGTCGGCACAGAATATTACTAAGTATAATTCAATGAGTTTGCGAGTATGCGAGGTTGATTAGGTTATGGATAATTTAACATGTTTCATACGAAATAATATGTTCAAATGTGAGCCAGTTAAAACCGGACGGCACCTAATGAAACAAGCTCTTAATCTCTGATATATCATATACATTACAAATATATTTTTTACTTATTTTTAAAACTGTGTTTTATTATTTTTAAATGCATACTTAAGTAGATTAATAGATTAGTGTTATCACAAAGTTTATCATGATATATTGGACAGTGCATAGACATTTCTAAGGATCGAAAAACTAATCAATGATTTGGGGATGTACCGAAAAAGTAATCGTCATCATTAAGTCCTCATTTTCGAAGACGCAATGGGTTGCGTACCTAGCGCGTTGTATTCGCCATACATTGCAGCGGGCGGGCGTATCAACTCTAGCGCAAATATAACACAACATTAGCAGTATGGTGTGATCTGTGATCACATATTGCATTCTTCGGTATTGATAATGTTAAAACAAATAGACAATAGGAATTCATCGTGCAGATAGAGATATATCTATACTAATATTTGTAAGTTTGTTAGTTTCTATTTAGAACCGCTGGTCGGATTGCCACAATTCTTTCACTGATAGATAGCTACAATGTTCCTGAGTGCTATAGGCTAAAAACATCACGCAACGATCAAATTGAGCCGAGCAGCGGGTGAAACCGCGCGAGACTAGTTAATAATATACTAATTAGTTAAGTTCGCATATAAATAGTATTGTATAGTATATTGAATAAAATACATTAGTACTTAGTTATCTTAACTATACTTCAACATGTAAGTAGTTGTGTTTTAAACACATTTACCCCTCATTACCACCTTAGGTCCCTGAGTGTCTCCGGGCGTCGGGGATCGAGAGATGATCTCCGGCCACCGTAAGCGCGGGTCTGCAGACGGCGAGTAAGGGTAGCCCGCCGCCCATACGTCGCGTAGCGCTCCGCGCGCGCCTCAAAGACCCAATGGACACAGACGGGGTCCTATAGGGCTGATGTTCAGCCAGGGTTGCGGGTTAACCGTAATGAGTCACAGCGGCCTCGGCCCAGAGCAGGAGAAGGAACGGGGGGGTCTTTAGTCAGTAAGCGTCTGACACTCTCGCTTAACCCTAGGCGGGTGAAGTCATTTGTTGATTTTCCCCTACAATAAAAAAGGGACTTAGAGTGTCGGAAGGGTGGCAAGTCGAATATCGCAGTACGACGTGCAATTTCTCCTTAAACAAAGTCTAGAGTTGCCCCATTTCAGAGGAAATTATGATTATGACGCACCTCCTAATCGGTAGAAGCTTGCTTCCGACGATTTGGTGCTTGTAAAAAACAAAAAACGAGTGAATCATCATTTTTTAACATACATCCATAGATTATCTTTACGCCTATCTAGATAATGGGCAATCAATTAAAATGATTCCAGTGTAGCTGCATGGGTGCTTGTTTTGTCTCGTCTTATATCATCTATCTATACTTATAATAAAACTGTAGAGAGGTCAATTCTGAACATTAAATACTTATATTTTCAAAATAACTAACAGGGGATGATTAGTGATCGATCCTGATGCCAAATATGCAATATGTAAGATTTTCGTCTGTCTGTCTGTCTGTTACTTATAGAAACAAAACCTACTCGACAGATTTTAACGAAACTTGGTACAAATATAGTTCATATTCTTAGGCAGGTTATAGGATAGGGATTATTTTCATCACGCTACAATTAATAGGAGGAGAGCAGTGAAGTTAAATGTTGCGAAAACGGGAGAAGTTACTCAGTCGCGTGTTCAGCCGTCGTGGTTAAAGTTACATAAAAATCAAGTCTCACGAAAATGTTCTACATAAAATTACCTAAAAAATATTTGACAACAGCATATTATGTATGTCTTTTATGACTAGGGTTGCCACCCGTACCTACTTTATAATAAAGTATTGTACTCTATTTCATATATTTGTACTCTATACTTTATGAGAACAATAAAGTACCTAGGTACACGAAAATACTTTATTTTGTATGATTTTTTTTGGGGATTTTCAAAAAGTCTGTGATGAACAACGAGATGTCGAGATGAAAGAAACAAAGCGTCTCTGCATTTAATAAAGACTGTAAAGATGTTATAGTGGAAATACTTATTTAATGCAAACTGCAAAAAGCAATAAAAAATATGTTTTGAAATATAAAAATGAAGTAAAATTAATTGTACTTTATCTTGATCCCATGTACTTTTTTTTCTTATCAACATTAACCAATGTACTTTAACTGCAAAAAAAGGTGGCAACCCTATTTATGACTCATAATAATACGATAACTCCTGATAGCTTAGCAGTTCGGAGCATACCTACTGATTATAAGTATTTGTTAACTTTTACGTTTATAGTCTGTATCTCACTCATCCCTTATTTAAGAAGATTAAATTAATCCAAATTCAATAATAAAGAATTATAGAAATCAGTATGGAAACACTTATACATAAACTTATGAAACGTATCTCTTTTTTAGTTAAATTAAGTTTGGTTTAATTTAAACTTAGGTAGAATGCGTACACCTTTGTGACGCCATGCAACAAGATAATTAAAAAAAAAACATTTCCACATACTTGTATTTTCTCCAGTGTCGTGGGTGCGTTTACAAACATACAAATTCTCATACTCACCACACACCCGGAACAACAATCTGTGGATCACACAAAGACTTATTCCGTGCGGGTATCGGGAATGCCGCGGCATTTTGCGCGGCAGCCAGTTGCTCAGCCACCGCGCCAACCGTGCAGTCAAACTAATAGTACTGTGAGTATGGGCTCTTTATTTATTCTTTTTACAGGTGGCCCACGTTACATACACGAACGTACTGAAAAATATAATAAAATATAATAGTGGAGAAATTTAGTATTACCCGTGCGAAGTCTGGGCGGATCGCTAGTATATCATAATGGGTCAGGATTCCTATATACATATTATATAGAAAATATCTATAATAATTATATCGGTCAGGTCAGAGTCATCGATTTCGGCAACAGCGACATGACTCTGTCTATTGAGAGCTTCGCTGATGTGCACTCAAGTGACTGACATAGCCAATTTTTGCAAAAAATGTTCGTCCCTATTCACTGCAATTCATTACTTCACCGACATAATTATAATAAATAGTCGCGGGTATAATAATGTGTCACTTCTCATTTCACGCAGAGCAGAAAGTATGTTTGACTGACAATTGACTGCATGGTTGGCGTGGTGGCTGGGCAACTGGCTGAAGCGCAAACTGTCGCTGGTTTGATTCCCGCATGGAACAAAAAGAAAAAAAACTATCTTAGTAGTAGTAGAGTTTTTTCTATACACCGCTATGATTCGAATGCACCAGGTGGCCTCTGCTCTACATCTACTAAATATGAACGGCAAAGCGGCGCCGACACAATTTTGTGCTATTAAACCTGCTCAGCAATACAGCTTACACTTTCTTACAGTATTAGCTTACAATGGTTCCAAAACATGGAGGAATTCTGATTTCTGAACGAACGACGCAGTGTTAACCATAAACAACACAAACGCTTTTATGAAATGAATGAAAGTATAGTCCATGTCTATGGTTTATTCTTATTATTGTCAACATGTCGGACAAGTTAGTATTTTTAGCAAAAATTCGTTTAAATATACTTTTAATATAATTATTGATTGCATTATAACGTTAAGTGTAAACAAAAACAATATTTGTATGTGTTTATATTAAAAAACCGTGTCAAAAACTTGTATTTCTTTATTGGAATTTGCGTCGCAAAATTCAGACATGTGTTGGTTTTATCATGATCGATAAATTGTTTTTTATTTACAGTGAAGACTTGTTAGGTGACGATTTAGGAGATCAAAGCCTTGCGGACTACAACCTTGGAAATGAGGAGGAGGAACAGCTTTTGGCTGATGACTATGACAGTGCAGGCCCTCAGAATGTTCCAACTTCGATTGGATCCAGCTACCGTGAACCCGTTGATATGGGGCCACCGGATTATCCCAGTCATATAGAGTATAATGAACAGGTATGCCATTTCATTTGGTCTCTCTGCTTCACAATTTCCAACCTACTTGGGGTCAATGCAAATTCTTTTTTTTTTCTTTCTCTCCTCTTAAACACATCACATACTCCTTTCTCTTTTTTATTATTCTTCACACCATCTGTCATTTTATAGTTCATTGTATACCTTTCTATTAATTTACAATGAAGTGTTTACAAGCAGTACTGTACAGTATTAGCTTACAGCCAATGCAATGATTTCATTAATATTGTGAAATATTGAATTTTTTAAAGTGAAAGTCAAAGCCATATAATTTTTTAAATTAGGTATATCATTATAGGCTTTTGAATATTGGGTTTATTTCCTTTTTCTTTCAATACAATAAAATATTGTAATATTTTCATTCATCACTCACTTCGCTCAATCACTGTACTTTTATTCATCAATCGATCGATACACTAAGTTTTAGATATTTTGTAGCTAATTATTAAGAAAAAAGTAAGCTATTTGCTGCAAAATTACTATGACGTCATAACTCAGTTTTTCATACAAATTCCATATAAAAGTATCAGTCATTTGGATAAAGCTATTGAATTTGACTAGTTGGAAACTTCATATTAAACAAACAAAAAGAAATCAAAATATTTGAAGATAAAAAATGTTGGTCTCTTGATAAGTCTTCTAGTGAAGCTATTATATAAAATCTCCATGGGACATTAGAAACAAGCAACAAACTCCATGGTTACTATCCTTCAACCAGTTTCACAAGCAAAATCTTTGTAACATGATGTGAGAACAGTGTAATACTAACACTATTTAGCTAAAGAAACAGAAAAAGAAAACTACAAGAACAATATACTTAAAACTACAAAACATGAGAAAATTCTATGCAAGACTCATTAATTTGTAATTGTATTATCGTAATAGTAGAAAATAGTATAGTTTACAATAAGGGCCTGTTACACTTCAGTTATGTTGTATGAAATGAATACTATTAAACTTCTATTTTTATTTCCAGCCACCTATGCAGTACCAGGCTATAGCTGAGACGGAGTGTGTAGTGCCCAATATTACAGTTGACGTACCAAACACTCCGATTCCGGAGGTGCCAACTTATGCACCATATGAACCACCAGTCTATGAGGAACATGCTGTCCCACCTGCAATTGTAAGTTTTATCCAGAGTACCCAGTACAAGTCTTTTAAATGTACAAATCAATTGATGATATATATATTATGGTAATATTATAGGCATATTAACGTAAAGCAAAAAAGTTGTTGTGTGTCAAGTGAAAATTCATACTTACTTTTCCGATTTTCATTACTTTTTTCATCTTGAATGGCACTTATCTCCATATAATTTTGAAATAACAAAAATGGTAGTGAACTAAAGTTTTTCTCAATTATTTATATAATATTAGCTTCTGCATGCGGCTTCCCACGCTTTTAAAAGTAATATATCCCATGATAGCTCGACAAAAATACGCAAATTAAGTATAATTTATAACCATAACGTTCAGGAAAATTGTAGGCATCTAGTCATCAGTAAAAGAATTTTGGAAATCCAACCAGCTGTTCCAAATATTACCCCCTACATACAAATATACTTAGTCGGGTCATAAGTTCTGTCAAAACCTTATATTTTTAATTTTCGATTACTGGCCAGAAATTCTTCGACTTATTTTAAAAATAGAACTTTCGCGCTTGTAGAAAATAAAAAAGAAATTATTTTTTATTCATTTTTAAATATGGAGTGGTCGAATAAAGAAGACAGAATCGCGGTTATCGCGTTGCACCGCTGTGGTTACGCGCCAAAAGACATTTTCAATATTCTTCAAAATTTGAAAATAACGTTACGGTTTGTTTATCGTACTATCAAACGATACACCGAAGAGTCAAGCTTCGAAGATCGTAAGAGAAGCGGCCGACCTCGCACAGTTCGGACACATAAGGTCATCAAAGCAGTGAAGGCGCGAATCGAACGAAATCCCGTACGTAAACAAAAAATCCTAGCTCTGCAGATGGGGCTAAGCAGAACCACTGTTAAAAGAGTACTAAATGAAGACCTGGGACTACGAGCTTATCGTAAAAAGACAGGACATTTTTTGAACGAGCGTTTAAAAAAAATTAGGCTAGACAGATCCCGCGCTTTGCTACGACGGTACGCGGGAAAAAAATACCGCGAAATTCTTTTTTCGGATGAAAAAATTTTTACTATTGAAGAAAGTTTTAACAAACAAAATGATAAGGTGTATGCCCACAGCAGTGAAGAAGCAAGCGCGCGTATTGCGAGGGTCCAGCGTGGGCATTACCCTTCCTCATTCATGGTTTGGCTTGGAGTCTCATATTCAGGCGTAACTGAGGTGTTTTTCTGTGAAAAAGGTGTGAGAACTAGTGCCGAAGTTTATCAAAATACTGTCCTAACAAACATAGTGGAACCTCTTTCTCAGACAATGTTCAGGAACAGGCATTGGATATTCCAACAGGACTCTGCACCGGCTCATAAGGCACGAAGTACGCAAGACTGGTTGATCGCTCGTGGAATTGACTTCATCCGGCATGAAGACTGGCCCTCTTCTAGTCCAGATTTAAACCCACTGGACTACAAGATATGGCAATATTTGGAGGAAAAAGTCTGTGCTAAACCTCACCCGAATTTGGAGTCTCTCCGAGCATCTCTGGTTAAAGCAGCGGCAGACATAGATATGAATGTGGTGCGTGCAGCGATCGATGACTGGCCGCGTAGATTAAGGGCATGTGTTCAAAATGGGGGAGGGCATTTCGAATAATGTAAATAAAATTATATTGTACATTTAATGACCTTTCATTTCATATATAATTTTTAAATAATTGTCAAAAGGCGTATAAGTTATTACATCAAAAGTTTGTGACAGAACTTATGACCCGACTAAGTACAATATTAATTCTTTATAATATTAGTTTAGATTTTTTGTCATTCCACATTCAACTTGAGGGTGTGCTGTTATCTTAGGAGCTATCTCTAAACTGAAACCAGAAATGGATTAATAACATATAAATATTATTATGTACTAGCTACTCTCTATGCAGTTTCACCCGCTACTCGGCTCCATTTAATGATAGCTGGGTTTTATAGCCTATAGCACTTAGGAACATTGTAGCTATCTATCAGTGAAAAAATTTTCGAAATCCGACCAGCGATTCCAAAGATTACCCCCAACATACAAACTTAAAAGTTTTACCTCTTTATAATATTAGTATAGATTTACAAAGAGGAAAAAATTAGATAGATAGAATATGTAACTTACTGGTCTAAAGTGCACTTTTTTCAATACACATACCAAGACCTGAATTAGCCAATCAGCAAACTCGTCGAATTCGTCAAAAAAGATAACTTCTAAAAATGCTGGAAAAAATCAGGACAGTATTACAAATAGGAATTTAGGTATATATCTATCTACAGTATTTTGGATTTCTTTATAAATAGTCTTCAAAAACATAAGTTTTAAGTGCCTCCTGAAAAATTTGTTCAAAAGGAATTTTACTCATTTGCTAAAAAAGGTATAAATGCACTACTTTACTCCCTAAAGAGTTCTTTAGAGATCTTTTAGCCATCCTCTCGCAGTATACAAAAGGCTTAATTCTGTTTTATAAAGTGATATGTTTTACTATATAAGTATTATTTGTTTTTCCAGCCTGCAGCCCCAGTGGAATCACCACAGATTGTGCCATCAGATGTCAATGCTCAGATACAAAGTAAGTTTTAATTAATTTTGTCACAAATTTTTTTTTTTATTGAATAGGTCGTCAAACGAGCAGACGGATTACCTGATGGTAAGCAATCAGCGTCGCCCATGGACACCCGCAACGGACCTTTTAGGGATTACGAATTTGGAGATTAAGGGATTGAAGAGAGATTGGGGGAGGGGAAGGATTGGGCCTCCGGTAACCTCACTCACACGGCGAAACACAACGTTGTGGTTGTTTCACGCCGGTTTTCTGTGAGGCCGGGGTATCACTCCGGTCGAGCCGACCCATTCGTACCTATGCATGGCTCTCCCACACTATACCCAATATAACTGTACTCAATGATATTATAAGTAAAAAGGTGTAGATTGGTTACATGAGCAACATTCAAAAACAGCACACTACACGTTAAAGTGGGATGGCATGATTCAATAATCGCGAGTGAAAAAGAGGCAAATATAAAAAAATGTGGCTAGTTAGCCACAGTTGAATGTATTACTTGCTGAGCGCTTGTAACCTATCTACACATAAGTAAAAGACTTATAATACCATTGCCTGCACTACTATTATTAGACTGCACGTTTGATGTGGTGGCTGGGCAACTGGCTGCCGCGCAACGTGTCATGGGCTCGATTCCCGCACGGAACAACTCTATAAAATCTCCCAATCCCTAATCCCTAAACGGTCTGCAACGCACTCGTAACTCCTCCGTTGTGGGTGGCGCTGATTGCTTACCATCAGGTAATACGTGTGCTAAATTGCCGTATTATCACAGAAAAATAACTAGTGTTTGTTTTGTATTGTGTTTTTTACCCAAAAAGGTATCAAATAATTTTTTTAACTCAATGTTCATTCACAGATGGGGATTTAGGCGGTCCCCGAGAAAGATTTGTCTCTGAAAGACCACCAGGTGCTCAGCGCTTACCGCAAGTTAGAGATATACCAGATACCTTAGGTAATCATTTTTAAGTTACTTTCATTTTCACTATTTATTCCTGTTTTATGAAGTTTTAAAAAGGAAATGTTGAACTAATAAAACTCATAGAAAATGTGTAACATATATGATTTGGCTCACAATTACTTCAATAAAATAATACAAGCTTGGTCCAGGTTTATCTATATTGGAGCTTTGTATATAAAACCTGGCTAGATTCTATTTGAATTTGTACTTTTAACAGTCTAGTTGGTTGTGTAGTCGCAATAACGATTGCCAAGCTATCGATTACGGTTCGGTTTGGACCGGGCAAAGTTTTATTAGGATTGTTTGATTTTTTTAACTCGCAAAGCACAATACAAGCTAGATTCACGCCTGATTTATACCGATCAGACATCATATAAGTACCAAAAATGTAAAATAATACAAAACTTATGTATTTGTCGTACAGATAAGGTAGTAATACCGCGCGGAGGTTTCCCTCGCGGAAGAACGTCGTGGCGCAACCCTCAGTACGCGCAGAGGTTCCCGCACCCATACAGGAGGAATAATGTGCATCGGGTGAGTTTGTCTATATTTGGTTATATATACAGAGTGACATTTTGAATGAGGGACATATTCAAAGTGCCGATTTTGGTGCTTAATTACAACAATTTTCCCCATGGGACCAATATCGAAGCCTCGGAAATATAAAATCATGCATTTCTTTACAGGGCAACTTCAACCAGCGACCTTCATTCCCACCCCCGCAACTAAGACCCAGCCCCCCACACAACCGACCCGAAATTCATCCTGACATGAGGCCAGAAATCCGCCCCGAAATGCGGCCTGATATTCGACCTGAAATCCGGCCTGAACTACGCCCCGAAATGAGGCCAGATATGAGGCTGGAACCTCCTAATCTCCCGCCAATGGGGCCGGAAATATCACCGGAACGTCCATTAATGCCCCAAGACATGCCCCCCATGTACCGTCCACCAATGGAACGTCCCCCATTCATTCCTCGATTCCAATTCAGACCACATATGGATGAACGACCCCAATTCGGACCAGTCAGGCCGAATTTTGAGCCTAGGCCAGTATTTTACAGGCCGAATTTCCCGCCCAGGCAGTTTGCTCCCCCTATGAGGGAGATTGTGCCTAACGCTAGTCATATGCCTCAAGTGACGATACGGCAAGCGTTGCCTTTGCCGGGGCCGAGTATGGACAAGGTGCTCAATGATGGGCCCAGGGAGCCTGAAGTCAGGATGTTACCTGTGCCTCTGCCTGCGAATTTGCCTCCACGAGGATTGGCAGGCAAGAAAGTGCTAATCAATCCACACTTCAAAGGGAATTTCCAGCCTCCTGTTGAAGGTAATTATATTTTATTCCTATATAAATAAGGCTGATTTTCAATGGTTATCTAACCAGTTATCTGTGAAATTATTATGAGGCTGTCGCGTCAGAATGTTTGTATAAGACAGTGACAGCAACAATTTTATTCCTCACATAACATTTATCTGACTATTGAAAAATCAGCCCTAAAGCAAATTTAGTAGTTTACCATTTACTTGCAAATAATTGGTAAGATTTTCACGATCAAAGCCTCTTTTTTATCTCAGTTTACGCTCACATATTATATATAATCCTGTAATTTCTATAGTGTTTATGTATAAGCATAAGTTGTTTTTGACTGTCTGATCCACATATTTTTAATAAAATCTGAACCTGCGTACAAGCTTTGTTGATTTTTTGGAAAATAACGACTTAGTTACGTAAACTGAGAAAAACTCTACTAGTTTGAAGTCCGATCTGGACTGTTATTCATGAGCAATGTATACCTACATATGTTGAAAAAAATTGTTATTTTTTTGTATTTTTGACACAAAATCTCAAAATTTCCTTTAGCTAGTATGATTTGTTTGTGACAAATGTTGCCATATGCAAAAAAAATATTTAAAAATAAGTGTGTTCTGTATTGAAGTGTCATAAATGTTGTTAGGGTTGCCAGTCTACATACCGACGCGTATACAAAAGTCGCCGCCGCTCAGTCCTACGATTGAGAACAAATTCGGTAAATGAAAACTTTCCTAGTGTTTAGTTTTCCTTATGTATCTATATTGTGTTGCATACTTAGTGCATGTATTTGTAGATCTGTGCCTATGTACTAAATTTAGCGCCGATATTTAATTGAGTAGTTTCCTAGGTCAAAAATAAATTAATTCGACGTTTGTACTTTTATTCGTCAATCGATCGCTACACGAAATTTTAGATTTTTTTTTTTAGCTAAGTTTAAAGAAATAATTTAACGCAAGAATACTATGACGTCACAACTCAGTGTTTCATACAAATTTCATAGAAAAGTATCAATTTTGACATTTGGATAAAACTACCGTATTAGTTTTATCAAGTTATAATATTTTTGATGAATTTTCTTTGTTACTTTGTTTAGGCTTTTAACAGTAGTTCAATGTAGAGTATACTTTAGGTTTGTCAATGTATTATTAAAATTTGAGGTTTTTTAAATGTCTTGTTCCTCTTTCTACAAATCTATGAATCTGAAAGTGTAGTAAAAAGTAAAGTCTGATCAGTGAAACTATTTAAAACAAGTAACCATGGAGTTACTTGCTCATTCTTCTCCATAGGAATCTACACTTTGGAACAAGCAAATAGCTTCACTAAGAGGACTGACCGACAGACTGACACTATATCTTCAAAATTTTGTTTGACGTTCAAAAGTGCCTGTAGGGGTCTAATTGGATAAAATGATTTTTGACTTTTGACTTTGACTTTAATCACCTAGACTGATAAACGGACAATTGAGTTCAGTTTCCTTATTCCAAAAATTATGATAGACAGAATATTTTAAAATAATCAAACTTATATTCGATAATCTATTGACACTGGTTTTTTAGTCTTGCAATATAAAAAAATAGGTGTCCTATTTTACCTAACAAAATTATGACGTCATTGTGTTATTATTCAATACAAGATATAGAGAAAATTTCGTTCTTTTTATATTAGAATAATACCTTTGTATTGTACTGGACTGGTTGTCAACAATCAAATTTTAAAAAAAGGTTTATTTGTAGATATTTTTTAATAATTTTTATTTATACCTTTACTTGAATTTTATTATCGGCGTTGTATGCAAGTGTATGCTAGTATTACCACTGTTCCTGCACCATATATTATATACCCTGCTTTATATATTACACTAGATTATTAAGTCACAAAGCACAATTTAAATTAAACCATAAATAATAGATATAAAGACTATATTTATATGATTAGCTTTGTTGATGGACTGATTGTCTTTTCTTATGTGACGTTTGTGAGTATGGATGATAAAACAAGCGAGAATTGGGTAGTTTCCTAGGTCAAAAATAAATTAATTCGACGTTTCAATACAATAAAATATTGAAAAATAACTATATTTTTATTCATCGGTCTGTATCGATACACTAAGTTTTAGATATTTTGTAGCTAATTATTTAGAAATAAATAAGCTATTTGACGCAAAAATACTATGACGTCATAAAAGTCGTTGTTGAGTTACGCGCTTACCAACACATTGTGCGATTCATTATTATATTATAAAGAAGATAGTATAGATTTACGGATAGGGGATTTGAGGATTGAGAAGGGGGGGTGGAATGAAGGAGGTTTATTAAACAAAATAAACACGTATAACTTGAGGATAAATATAAAAAGCTTATCATAATGTATTTATAATGTTGTGGCAGGTCCAGTAAAAGATATAGATGACGCAGCGGAGCGGTTTATAGCTGAACAACGCAATGCTCTGGCCAGGGCCGCTGTCAGGAAGTACTCGAGGAGATCGCCGCCGCAGAGGTAAGTCTTATATCCAACCACCGTAATCTTCTGAATAAAATAAAACTTACCTAAATAAAAAACTACAAAAGAGAAAACGAGACGAGTTTTAAAAAAAAATCGTAGTGGAGGGAAAAATTAATCAGTATTCCTATGCGCGCGCATCGGTCATAGACTAAAAAATTATGTTTTTTTTTTGTCTCTGCGCGGATAGCATTTTAGGGCAAGTGTAAGCGTAACTCAACAAAAAAAACTATTACTTGTGAATAATAATAGTAATGAAAAAGTCACAGTTTGATTATAGTGTCATTACATATGGTGTCATTACGTGCCTAATTGCCGAGGGATTAGAGCCACTTTATGAGGAAGTGTGTTAAATAGTGCCTGCGTTGTGGGTGGGGCGTGATGGGGCGATGGCCCAGGGCGACATATTCTGGGGGGCGCCTAGGTCTGAAGTTGGAGTCTCTTGCCTTTCTTGGAGCAAACCCTCAGAACTGTGCTCTAAGCTCTGTGCATATTTTTTAAGATGGATTTTTTTATGGTTTGTGGTCGAGGAGTAACTCTAACGATATCAATACGATCAGCAAAAAACTAAGACGTTGATATTGCTTCCCTGAAGTGGGCGCCAATATAGTTTCGCCCGGGGTTAAAGTGGCACTGGTGTTAAATATATATATGTATATGATTGTCGCAGATACATAGAGAACACGACGATAGAGATAGAGAACGAGCTGGCGGCGGGCGGGCGGCGCCGCAGTCACGACGACGACGACCTTCTGCGCAGGCAGGAGGAGTTCATCAACGCCAACCGCGCCGGCCTCCGGAGGAGGTATCTACCTACTTATACTTGCTTCACATTCACATCTTACAGCTACCTACTACGCAAAGTCTAATCGTTTATTTAAGACTATTTCGCTTATCTTGACACCCGCGACTCTGTTCGCATGGACTAAATCAAATCAAATCAAATTCTTTCTTTCAAGTAAACCACAATAGGCACTTTTGAACGTCAAGCAAAAAATATATCATAAGGTTTAACTTTATATGTGTCAGTCTGTCCGTCTGTGAAGCTATTTGCTCGTCCCAAAGTGTTTCCTATGGAGAAGAACAAGCAAGAAACTCCATGGTTAACCTTTTTCAATCACTTTTCACAATGCATTGTTACATAATTTCGATAATTCCATTATGTAAGAACAGTGTAACACTAATGCTTAATCGAAGGATCCGAAAAAACAATGAACCTCAAGGACAGCAACTTTAGACAATCTCGAGTTGACCAGTCCCAATAGGCGGCGTCCGAGTGACTTCCTGCAGATTTTTGGTTTAAAAACTATTCTTTGTCCTTTCTCGAGTTACAAACTATGTCCGTACCGAATTTCACAGAAATGGGTTCAGTAGTTTAGGCGTGAAGAAAAGACAGACAGAGTTTCTTTCGCATTTATAATGTTGGTTTGGATAGAAGCTTTTCGTTGCACTGTTGCTAAAGTTGGAATACTACGGCATTCGAAGGTTTTTTTTTCTATATTTATTAAAATCATACCTCCAGGATAGGCAGCTCAAAGAACAAAAAAAATAAAGTGAACTCCCAGGGGTGCTAGCATATCTATGGGCGTACCACAGGGCTCGATATTAGGTCCTTTCCTCTTTTTGGTCTACATAAATTACTTACCTGCTTCAAAGTGAGCCGAGAATAGTATTATTTGCTGATGACACGTATCAGTCATCATTTAAGCATGCATAGGGATATAGGGACATAATGTTCAGGAAAGAGTTTCAAAATCTTTGTTTTATACTATGTAGTGATGATACGATTGTTCCAGAATGAGATCCCCGTCTCCGGTACGTCGCTCGGTGTCCCCGCGCCGCTCCCCTGAACGCAGGCCTCGACCTGACACCGCCAGGCATTCTGACGAGGTAACTAACCATAACATATAAATATAAACGATATAAAATCATAATAACTAACTGCACGATTGAACAATGTTTCGAAAATATACTTTAGTTAATTTTTAGTATATAAATACTAAGTTTAAGCGCAACGTGAACTCTCTTAGAGGCTTATACAATATAACTTAAGCCATAAAATACATCTATGCCAATTAGGCCTGTTTATGTTTGATATTTTTAACATAGACTTCATCAATATTTTCATATACTACATATAAATTTTTTACAAAAAAAACACTAGGATTTTCTCTCGTGTTGTGGGTGCGTTTACAAACCGAACAACAATTTGTGGATCACACAAAGATTCGTTCCAGTCGAACGAACGCGCGACACGTTTGCACGGCATCTGGTTGCCATAAATTATTATTCTATATCTATGTATCTCTGATTAACTTTAAACTAATACATGTATATTTTATCCGTTCTCCTGTAGGACAGCGAGTACAAACGTCGCCTCCGTGAGCAGGAAAGTCTACGCGAGCGAGTACTGCGCGCCAAGGAGGTGCGACGCAGGAAGAATGCGCTGCAGAGGATACATGGAGACCGGTAAGTACTTGCATACTCATTGCTACTGGCACACGCTTCCAATCGCTGCTCGGCTCCTACATATCTTAGCCTATAGCCATCCTCGATAAATGGACTAACGAACACAAAAATAATTGTCCAATTCGAACCAGGATGGACCAAGAAGAGAAGGATTCCACCTGCACGTCGATTCTATAAAATTTGTTTGATTTTGTCTCGTTTTCGAGTTCGAAGTGAGCGTCGAAGTGACGGGGAAATTAAATTTTAGAATGCTACTTTTAACGTCATCTCATACTTTATCTATCAAAATGTTGCTGTCAATTTAGTTCAACTCGCAAGTGTAGCGCTAGTGTACTACTACTCACGGCGGATTCAGATTCGAAGTTTAGAATGAAGTCTTACAGAATCACACTGCAGCTATCTGACAGCAAGCTTTCGCACCGCCCACGGACGTCCGCAACACCAGGCTTTTTGGGACTTAAGAATTCGACGTTTGGGTGAATAGAGGATGTTAGAGGGGAGCAGGGGATAGACCCGACCTGAACCAGGACCAAGCGTACGGCGCGGAGCGTTCTGCGCGCGCCTCAAACACCCAATAGACCACCACAGACGGGGCCCTAAAGGACCGGGGTTGCGGGGTAAACGCAATGAGGCACCACGACCTCGGCACAGAGCAGGAGATGGAACCAGGGGGGGGTTTTAGTCAGTAAGAGTCTGACACTCTCTCGCCTAACCCGGGCGGGAGAAGTCATTTTATGATTTTCCACTCACAAAAAAAGGGGGGTTGAGCAGGGGATTAGGTTTGGTCGTCCAGTTCCTCATTGGTTACATGTCACCAGCGTTTTGTTTCGTCGTACAGTCTCATCCTTCCCTTCCGCTAATCCCTAAATTTCCAAAACCCTAATCCCCAAATGGTCAGCAACGTACTCGTAACTTCTTTATTGTTGCGGGCGGCGCTGATTGGTAATCCGTCTGCTGCCGACTTATCACATAAAAAACTCCTCTGTAACTCAGTTTTTAGTTGCTAAACATTTTATTAAACCCTAATCTTCAATAATTACTATTTTGTTATCCAACAGTGAGCGTGAAAACCAAGAAAAAGAAGCTTTACTAAAGACTCCCGACCAGCCTGCACCCTCAGAGCCTGAGAAGGTGGTTTCCACAGAACCCAATAGACCTGACACCACCCGGTCCTCTCCGGATAAGGAACCAGCAAAGCCTGAGATCGCCAAGGAACCCGCCAGAGACAGGTCTCCCATCAAAGAGGAGGTCGAAGTCAATTCTACTTGTGGTGAGTTTTTTTTATGTTATTTTGTTTTATACCTACTTTTGTAACGTTTATACGAGTTGTCTATGCGTTTCGTAAGGGATTTTGTAACAGTGAATTAATTTTTGTAAATCCCAAACTAATATTATAAATGCGAAAGTAACTCTGTCTGTTTGTCTGTCTTTTCTTCGAGCCTAAACTACTGAACCGATTTAGTTTTGGAACTCGAGAAAGGACATAGGATAGTTTTTATACCAAAAATCTGTAGGAAGTCACTATTTCATGCGAACGGAGTCGCGGTCAAAAGCTGGTAGGTCATAAAACAGCACATACACGTCAAAATTATATGTAAAAAACTAGATGAAGCCCAATGATGTATAAATCTATAGATACGTTGTCCGCGCTCTAAAATGACAACATGAAATGAAGGCAATTGACAACATCGCGCTTAGTTACGCACCAACCTGCCGCGCGACTCTACGTTTGTTTTTAATTATATCGTGTGTGTAAACCTGTGCGAAACATAAGTAAAGCATGCCGTCGTGTGTGTTCAGACGATGTACAAATAATACTCCAAAAGTTAAAGACAAAAATGTGTCATTTCATGCGTAAGTTCACCAAACAACCTATTTTTATTTCATTTTTTTCGGCGCCCGCCCTCTTATGGCGGCCATCTTATGAAAATGTAGTTTTACTATTACTTATCCTGTGATGTAACTGAAGATGTATATTTATCTCCCTCTAGCAAAGGCATTCCACTATACGATGTCATATTTTCTTTCCCTTTCTTTACTAGTAGAAGTAGTTATCTAGTATTTTCGACGTTTATAAGCGCCGCGATGTCGGTTCAGGACGTGTCTATATATAATACGTCATTGATGAAGCCGGCATTTCCTATCTGACTACTGTGAAAAGAAATGCCGAAACAAACTCAGAGGTCCGCCTCTTTTCAAGTCCAGACAATGTGAAAAATAATATAAAGTTCGAGAACCGTGCAAGTTCATTCCGTAGTGGTCTTTTGAGGTAAGAACCACACCGATCTAAGTAGACCCGTTCTAAAGAAACGCACTCAAGTGTCAGTTTACGACCAGACTGCTATTTTAGTATTGTTATGTCACGTTTTTTCCGCGTCAAATAGCATACCTATTGGTTTTTGAAAATGTGCTATAAATAAGAATATTAAGTTTATAAAATCATTGTGATTCGTTCGTTCCAAAGTATTAGATTCTGATGGAGAAGAACCAGCAAGAACGAATACAAAACGAATTATATAATTCGAACCAGAAGTTCTGGAGATTAGTGCGTTCAAACAAAGAAACTCTTCAGCTGTATAATATTAGTATAGATACGGTAGCCAGTAGTTATTAAGACGCTACATTCTTCAAATTTTATTATAATTTCACAATTGTCCACAGAAGCCCTAACCCCCCCAACCCGTGAGGTCCGCGAAGCCTTAACGCCCCCCCTACCGGCGCGACGCGGCGACAGTGATGACGACCTGGACCTCATACTCGGAGATATTGACGGAATACTGTCCGACGATGAAGACTCCGGACGGTTCAAGGATAACTCTAACAAGTATGTACACAAATTCCTGAACATATTTTGTGTGTGGGAGAACCATGGGTCGGTTCGAGTGATACCACGACCTCACAGCAAACCGGCGTGAAGCAACTTACGTTGTGTTATGCCGTGTGAGTGAGGTTACTAGAGGTCCAATCGTTTCTACCCGTCCTCAAATCATCAAATCCCCTATCCTTAAATCCGTAGTAGCCCACTTTAAAGCTTGGTAGTAACTCCTTCGGTATTACGAGTGGCCATGGATGGCGCCGATTGCTTGCCATAATCCACAAATTCCTATCTCTAAATCCCTATTAGCTTCGGTTTCCTAATAAATACCTAACTAAGTTTAAGTGTGAGAGGGCCATGACCAGTGTGATAACGGCTTCACAGAAAACCGATGTGAAGTAACACCGTGTGACCGTGTGGTTACCGAAGGCCCAATTCTTCCTACCCATCCTCAAATCCACAAGAGGCACTTGTAGTAACTCCTTTGATATTACGAGTGTCAGGTAATCTGGCGTTTGCCTACCTAAAACTATATCCTGGTAGAACAGAAGACAGAAGTTGTCCAATTTTTTTTGTCTCCTATTGTTAGTTATTGTTACTTTTCATCTTTCTGAACACGTATAGAAGACAATGTGATAAGATTTTAGTAGGACTGCTAAGGAGTGGAATCATTGTTTTGGCACGCATGAAAACATATTTGATAGAGTTTTCCTTAACGCTATGACCCTCCGTCGTATAAACCCGACAAACCAAAAATACTTTATTATGATGTTTTCTGGTCGGCAATGCTCGACATTAGAGAAATAGCCTATTTTTCGTTTTTCGTCTATAGCCGACAATGGCGGTCAAATGATTAATAATCTGTTTGAACGTAAAACTGTTTCTAACTTAGGTAAAAGTTAAGTAATGTAATAATATTGACTATCTTCCTTCAGACCAGAGCCGCAGAAGTCCAAGCCTCAAATAGACCTCCGTACGAAGCTCCCCCCCAAGTCTACCACTGAGCAGAAGAAGCAACAGAGACAGAAGATAGTCTTTACAGAAGATAGAGAGGAGAAACCCAAGAAAAAAGGTTTGTAATTAACTCAAATTTTATGTATAAAATAAATGGCTGTTCATTAGTCTCGCCATAACTCGAGAACGGCTAAACCGATTTGGTAAATTTTTCGTATTGATTTTTCATATGAAAGTATAAACAAGTATATAATATAGAAAACTTAAATTAACTTGCTAGATAATACGTAAATATTTTTTTTTTGCTTTCCCGTACACACCATTCATTAAATGACATTTTCTATTTGTCATCCTAGTTATTTTCAACAGCCAGTTTCTGTCAATAACTTTGGCCTCTAACTTTGGCCCTTCCCGATAGTTTATCTGAAGGGCGCCTTATACTTCGTTGGCGTATATAGACCGCATGAGTAAAGAAGTTGACGTGACCAATTTTAAACACAACTGTCTGTATTTCCGTCTGTATTTTCTGTCTGTATTTCCGTAGTCGCATCAGGGTGAAGTTTATGAGAAATTCCAGACTGTAATCTATCTATATGCCAAATTTCATTAAGATCTATTTAGTACTTTTTACGCGAAAAAGTAACAAACAGCCACCCATACTTAATTTTTCGTGTTTACAAAACTAGCAGGATTGACTATGATCATTCTCCGTATGAAATCATACCACATTAAATTAATCTGCAAGCAAATTCTTTAATTTTTTAAATTAATAGTTTATATTTATTACAGAGAAATCTCCCCCACGTCGGGCCGTAGTCACAAGCTCGACGGTCACTGAAGATTTCGAACCTGAAGTCAAAAAGCTTAAGGTATGTATCAAAGACCAATATTTTTGAATAGTAACTATCGCTCACTAACAATTTTCACTTTTTTATGTAATAAGTCTGCTAACGAGCACATGGATTACCTGATGGTAAGCAATCAGCGCCGCCCATAGACACCCGCAACACCAAAGTAGTTACGAGGGCGTTGCCGACCTTTTGGGGATAAAGGGATACGGGAGGGGTAGGGATTGGACCTCCGGTAACCTCACTCACACGGGGAAACACAAAGCTGTGGTTGTTTCACGCCCGTTTTCTGTGAGGCCGTGGTATCACTTCGGTCGAGTCGACCCATTCGTGCTACTCATAGTACAATAACATAATGACAGGTTTTGACATAATATTTATAATTTTAGTTTTGATTTTTCATATTGTAGGGATAGTTTTTTTTTGATCTAATGTTTATATAATTTTGATTTCTATATCTTTATGTGCGTAGTGTTAACTGTAATTATGAATGTGTCATTTAAAATAAATAAAAAGTACATAAAAATAATTGTGGAATATTTGTTATTTCAGATAAAACCCAAGCAGGAATCGAATCCTGTCAAATCTAGGCAGAGGATAACTTATGAGAAAGAGGTAAGTTTTTACAGTAAAGATAGTTTTAAGTCATTCTGTATACGATACGGCGGTAAACGGGTAGTTCGGATTACCTGACGGTAAGTAATCGGTACTGTACATACACACACTGGTAGCACCAAAGGAGTTACGAGTGGTAGCTGGCTTTTTGGGGATTGGAGAGAGATAGGGGAAGAAGATTAACGATGGAGTTTGTTGTTAACTCTTGATTATTGGATTTTACAATTAGGAGAGCTACATTTGAGTTGATGAATTGCTTTTACGCAAATGACCTTAGTTCCTATATAGTGTTTAGTTCAAATAAATGTCTTCGTATCGCCTAAAGACCCACGCAATTGTCAACAGCAAGCCGACAAAGAGAAAGACGAGGACAAAAAGTCGGGCTTCCCGAACCGTCGCGTGATACTACAGAGGAAGTCTCCGAAGGAGAAGTCGGTGTTCTCCCGCATCGAGGTGAAGGCGGAGGTGGCGCAGGGCGCGGCCGGCATCTTCAGCCGCGCCCTGCGCACCGCCACGGCGGGCGGCGCGCGCCCTGCCTGCGCCCCCTGCGACCTGCTCGTGGACTCCGCGTCCGACGACGAGGCGGCGCCGCCCAGCGCGGCCAGCACGGCGCGCGTGGCCAACCTGCCCCCCGGCATCACCGACACGCGCCTCCGGACGCTCGCCGGCAACCATCTACAGGTAACGCTACACGGTGTCTTTATCTTCGCGGGTTGGTGGCTCGAATGGCTGCCACTTATACTAACTTCAATATACAATTTCGTTCTATGTACAATCTTGTTGTTGCAACATAGTTTTGTATATCAATGCTGTCTTAGGAAAGGTTTCTAGTCATTTAATTATAGATTTGGTATGAAGATCTGAAACAAAATATAGGTTATGCAATAAACGTATTGTTTTTATACAAAACCTCGATGTTATTGAGATTTTTTTTCAAAGTTGGATTTGTATAATAATGTTCAATTAAAAAATTAATTGTGTCAACTAATTTAAAATAGAAGAATTTTATGAGATAAAAAAATCTTTATTTATGAGAACTGGTTCCATTACCAGTTCAGAAAGTGATGTTATTATATTTGCGCATGTAATCACAATTGCGCAAACTTGCGCATAGTTGCGCTAAATGTTTTCTTGGAAATTTTAACAGCTTAAATTAAGACTTAAGACATTTTAGTACGAAATTGTACTTGATATTTGTGCAAATTGTTACACAGATACGTACATGAATAATAATGGAATGCGTCAAAGAATATGTATAAAGAAAAATGTAATATAATAGGTTTACTTGTTATTCTTTTTTTATATACTCCTAAAGCTGTCTACTTAAAAATAAAACCTTTTTTTGTACAATAGAGAAATCCATTCGAACCACCAATCGTGTGATATTGTTTACTCACTGTGATATCGAATTGTGATATTTATTTATATGTTCATACGTTATATTATTGCGTAGACGTACACTGTAGTACACAGAGTTTTATATAATTATTTTTGTGACTTATAATCTTGTGTGCAGGCTTATGAATTTGATGATTTTTCTTTTTATCTTGGTATATTTAACTTGATCAACCAAACAAAAAACTCCTGTTTTGGTATTTTTATTGGTTCTTACAAGCTCAGCCATGAATTATTGAAAATAAATGAAAAAAAAAAAAGAAACTTTATGATTAATAATGAAAAAAAATTGTTTATTGAAAATAACGACTCGAATTAACTGAGAGAGTTAAGCTTTTTTACTAGTTTCACTTAACATGAATGAGGGTGCGTGTTCGAAACCTGGCAAGTACCAATGTGACTTTTTCCGAGTTATATGTACTTTCTAAGATTATTTAGACACCACTGACAGTGACATACGATGAAGGAAAAACATCGCGAGGAAACCTGAACCTATAATTTCTAATTATAAGTTTGAAATCGCCAATCCGCCTTGAGCAAGCGTTGTGATTAATGCTCTGTATGAGAAAAGGCCTTTGCTCAGCAGTGGACACTTATAGGCTGATGATGATGATGATGAAATTGAATTAAAAATAATATGCACACAATTCGAAAATACAGAATATAAATAAAATAAAAATGATTTTTTTATATGGATTTGGGTTCAAACTAGCAGTACACTTTGAAGGTGAACAAAGATTTGCCTCTTAAAGGCAGTAAAAAAGCCTTTATAAACGTAAACCTGTCGTTTAAAATCTTTACAAATGTATTGAGTTTGAAATATAGTGAATTATTAAAATACTTGCGACACGCCCCGGCTTCGCAATGATGCAATGCTGCACAATTTAATGGATGTTATTATACATATAAATCTACCTCTTCAATCACTCTATCTATTAAATAAACCGCAAACCATTACGCAGTTCTAGAGATTTAAGCGTACCTGCATAGGGATATAGGGACTGATAAAGCGACGTTGTTTTATACCATGTAGTGATTCTGATCTATTTTGACATTGCGATAAAAGATTTGAATGTCTGGTTATCAAATGCATTTTTATACTATTTGTTCTTTAAAAGAGCTAAGTCATCTACTTCACTTTCAAGTGAAAATTAATAAGCTGTTCGTTAGTCAGGCTAAAACTCTGAAACGGCTGAACCGACTTAGTTAATTTTGGTCAGTCCAGTGAAGGAAAAATTTTGTGTAGAATACTAAAAATTGTTCTCGTAAGTGACATAAGATACATCTTATATATATGTATTTGATAAGTATCGAAACTAATATTACTAAAGTTTTTGACTTGGTACGGATTTCCCTGGTCTTTGAGTACAAAATAAATTAATAAGCCTGAACATACATTTACTAAGCTGTATTACATTTGTCATATTTATATATTGTTTTTGTTTTACAATTAAATGTTGATTATTATAACTTTCGTGAGACATTCTAAATTATTTATTATGTTTTCGGCTTACTCACGTAATAATTTAGGGCCTCTAGCATGGCTTGAAACTAGTCGAGTATCTCGTCAAATTATTACGTGAGTAAGCCGAAAACATAATAAATAATTTAAATGTTGATTGTATGAATATTTTTATTTATATTAAAAAAATGATTACAATACCATCTATGGCAAGTGTGATTGGCTTAGCTTAAATTAAATATATTATGAATTTATATTTTTTCCAATTGAACTGAGGTAAACTTTTTACCAAAATTAAGTAATAGTTGTTCGTAACTTATTTTGCCCTTATACGGGGTGATGTTTATTATGTTATTCAACATACAGGGGGTTGTAAAACTGTCTTCTGTTTTTAGTTGTACCCCACTGTGTTAAACAGTTTTTGTTAAAATGATTTGTATCAAATTGTCTTCGTATGGCCAATGTTGGCTTATTGTATTCGCTATAATGAAAGAGTTTCTACAGTATGTTAGTGTATACGGTATTCGTTTCTTTTGGGGTAGTCTCGACTAATTTCGTTTGAACTCGAAACTTTTCGGACACTCCCGAAAGATATGAGTGACGCCATAAATGCTAATTAATTGCTTATTTAAACTAACCATGATCTCGATATATGTTACAAAGATGATCATGATATTTTTTTAACACATTCAGTGCCCCCGACGCGTATGTGCGTGCGAGGAAACGCACATACGCGTCGGGGGCACTGAATGTGTTAAAGATAGCAAAGTTTTATCATAATATTATTTCTATGTATTTGTATATAAAATATAATGCATGTGTGCTTTATGGTGATGTAATATTTTATTTGAATGATACAATTTTAATAATAATTTAGTGAAATCAGTAGTGGCAAATGTATGGATGTAACATTGATATATTTACAGAACAAAGTTCTCAGATATCGAAATTGTAGTAATGATCTACCACGGTCTCGGGCGGTAATAGGGATGTTTTCAGCCAGTTAGAGTTTGATCTTCCCCATCCAGGGCGGGAAAAGTCATTCGACGATATTCTACCCACAAAAAAGTCGTATATTTCATGCATATCTGTGTTGTAAATAACACTCCTTTTATTAGGCAGTCATGTAAAAAATACACATAATTATAATAGTTCGGCAAACGACTCTGATCGCCAGATGGGAAGCAATCAGCGCCGCCTGAGAAAAAGACTAACCATGGAGTTTCTTGCTCGTTCTTCTCCATAGGAATCTACACTATGGAACGAGCAAATAGCTTCCCTAGAGGACAGACGGACAGACTGACACATATAAAGTTAAAACTTTTGAATTTTATTTTTTTGCTTGGTGTTCAAAAGTGCCTGTTGTGGTCTATTTGATTTTGACTTTGCTCACGGATATCTGCAACACCAAAAGAGTTACAGGTTCGTTGCTAGCCTTTTGTGGGTAGTTAGGGATTTTAAGATTAGGGAATTGGAAAAGGATTGGGCCTCTGGTAACCTGACTCATACGGCGAAACACAACGCTGTGGTTGTTTCACGCCGGTTTTCAGTGAGGCCGTGGTATCACTACGGCTGAGCCGAAGCATGGTTCTCCTACACATAGCTAGAGATAATCAGTTTAACTATGAGAATTAGCTCTTATGTCCATAGTAATTAAGATGAAGAATTTTTTTTTCTAAAATCAAAATATTAAAATTGTATTGTTCAATAGAAAATAAAATAGGAAAAGTGTTAAGTGATTGATTTGTAATTAAGTTTTCTTTTTTTAATGTAAATTCTGACTCATGTTTTTAGTAATAAGGTCATTGCACTATATACTTGTATATTACTGTTTGTATGTTTTGCCATTATCCTTAAAAAACACCGGTTTATGTAAATAATGTGTATTACTTAACATTTTTCATATTTTTTTTCCATAACAGCTTTGTATGACAAGAATTTAGTTTAGAAAAATATCCAAAAAATGGTCGAATTAATGTTCCAGAGTTTAATATTGGATAAAGAGGAACGAACAGCGAAGATTATATTCAAAACGTCAGACGCAGCGGAAAACTTCAGAAAGAAATTTAATAACAAGATGGTAGCCGCTAGTCGATTAACTGTCACTTTACATTGAACCTTATTTTTATGTAGAATAGAGCTCATTCTAACATTGTATAAGGTTATCGTTTTATGTCGATCGATAATCAACTTTATAACAATTGGTTCAGAGTAGACTTTTTAAATAAAAATGTTTGTATTAAGTATAGGGGTGTTACATAATTTGGATGTCACTACAGGATGTTCGGATTTTTGTGACTTTTGTTTGATACGTTATATGTTATTGCGTACTTATATATTAAGTCTTTTAATGTTTTTTTTTGTAAAATAGACATTTAGACTAAAGTAGCTGGATTATGTTGTTTAAAATTCTATGTTATGCCAATAGAGTTTAAATTTCAATGCTTTTGAGACGATTTCGCTGTTTAATAATAACGAAGGATATTCAATTTATTGAATTAAGCTCTTTATTCGAAGGCAATAAGTATCATAATGCGTTGCTCGTGGAATATCTTCGACGCAATTTAACCAGTAATAAATATTATCTTACACTTTACTGTACTTTTCGTAAGGTTAACTGATTTAAACTTTATTTTGATGTTTATAGAATCGATATTTACTTGAATATAAAAACAATAAGCCTTTTCAAAATAATACGCAATAATCACTGCCGCAGTACTAAGCACCGAATATTATAAGCTATAGGATTTCAAACTCTATGTACAATAGTTAGAAGGATAAAAATCTGATTGTATTTTGTACCGATTTCATACTAGATTGTTTTAAATTGTAATCCACATACATTTTGTTTGAATTGATGAATTAAAAAGATATTATTTATTTATATGTCTAGTAGATGTGACGTCATCACGGAATTATTAAAAGTTAGTATAAGTATTACAGGGGATAAAAACAATGGAACATATGAATGTTTTAATATATAAAAATGGGTGTCAATATTAACCCCACACCACCATTCTACCCCCACTTTGGGTATGAATAGCGGCATGCAATGTCCGTAAGGACTGATTTTTCAATAGTCAGCTAAATGCTATCTGAGGAATAAAATTGTTGCTGTCACTGTCTTACACAAACATTCTGACGCGACAGCATCATAATTATTCCGCAGATAACTTTTATGTAACCATTGAAAAATCAGCCCTGATTCATGAAAAATGTTTTATTACGATTTAGGTTTCATGAGAAATATTTTTATTTTTATTAAGAAATATGACTATATCTATCTAGACATATATGAATAAATTAAGCTTGTTCCAACAGATTCTTGATAATACACTGGTAAAGTTATCTCGAACATAGTATATACTAAATATGCTTATAAATACTTCTTAGAAACGTATTTACTACTTAATTTGTCTAGAATCTGTAATACAAGCTATAATAGTTTTTCAGCCGGGGTTGCGGGGTAAGCGCCATGAGGCACCGCAACCTCGGCCCAGAGCAGGAGAAGGAACAGGGGGGTTTTTAGTCAGTAAGAGTCTGACACACCCTCCCGCCCAGCCGGGAGAAGACATTTGATGATTTTCCCCTCACAAAAAAAAGCTATAATAGTTATGATTATTGTTCGAAATACACATAGTTCCTAATGATGATATATCTTTAGAAAATTTGTAATGTAATACGGACGGCGGGTGGACCCCTGCTTTCCCTCCCCCCCCCCCCCCCCGGCTGCTCGAATGCTTACCTTAATTGACAAATCAGCTAACTCCTTATCAGCCGGGGTAAGCGCAATAAGGCACCGCGGCCTCGGCCTAGAGCAGGAGAAGGAACGGGGACGTTTTTAGTCAGTAAGAGTCTGGCACTACCTACCGCCCGACCCTGGGCAAGAGAAATCATTTGATAGTTCACAAAAAAAGCTAACTGCATATGAGTAAATAATTCAAGAGACACTTAACTCTAATATTTTTTGTAGACTACTTTTCAAGAAATGTTAAGTATAATTAGTATTGAAAGATATTAACCCAAATTCTTATCATGAATACTGACAGATCTTTTGTAAATTTTCTTTACAAAATCTACAGCGGTTTTAGGAGCTAGATATTTGGTGATTGACGAAATGTGGAGTTGACTGGTTTGCTTATTAAGGTATTAATATGCAGTTCATACATATAACAATACATAATGTAACTGTTGAATAATAGTTCTTACATTCAATTTTCTATATTCTGCCAACCCAAGAGGTAGAATGGTGTAATATATTACTGTCAAGCTCGATTTAAAGTTCCGAAAATAATGTTAATTATAAGTACTTACTACACATTTTGTTTTAAATATTAATTACTCGAATCCTCTATATTAATTCTGTTGAATACGTATCTTGTAGAGTTATTCAAATTTTTGTACGTTCATTTCCATTCACGGGACCGCAGGATCCCAAACTTTGGAAGGCGTAAGCGGGACCAAAGCCAATTTCGTAGAGGCCCCTTCAAAAACTTTAGTATTAGTAAAATGGGACACCAGTGAATTTTGTAATAATGACAAATTATGCAAGCAATATTGTAAAGAGTATTTTGTTTTTTTTTCTGTGTCTAAAAGTTATAAATATATATACATGAAAAATTGCATTTTTTAAATCTTGATAAACCTGTGTTGTTATTGCCGATTTCCTTGTGTATTTAAATGCTTGATTTGTTTCTTAATGTATGGATATTAAAATTAAAATTGACCATAGCTGTTATTATAAAAAAGTTGTTTGTTATTTTAGTTAACTGACTATAGTATATACAATTTACTATTTTGTAACTGACTTGATTTTTAACTGTTTAATTATTATTACTTATATAAATTTTTGGCGACACTCGAATAGTTTCAAGCCACGCTAGAGCTTATATTGGCGCGCTATACTGCCCGTGAATATAAAGGCTCTAGCGTAACTTCTAACCAGTCGAGTTTTCCGTCAAACAATTACAATGTAAGTTAACATAATAATTCATTTAATATGTCCCATAAAAGCTATATCTCAAAAACGGTGAATTAGCATAGACTATCCGTGTATTAAAAGAAAAACTTCAAACAAAAATGTATCGTGGATTTTCATATTTTATGTCCTTACTGCATATATGCTATTCTAACCCCTAACCACATATCAATAGAGTTGTGAATTCATTTGTTACCGTTTTAAATTGTTATTTATTTACATAAAATGTCTCCTACTCAAATATCTATATTCGATTTTTGTTAACAGATTTGTTTTTTAGTACTTCATTCCTATGTTACTTATGTAAAGTGCTATTTACAGAAATTGTACTCAAAAATTGTATAAGTACACAAGCGATAATATTTCTTTATAAAAAAAAAATCGTCTTAACAAAGACTTCACTTGCATAAAAACCCAATTGAAAAAATATTTAACGTAATTTTAATTATAATCAAAGCTTTTTCAAAATTTCTCTCATTTACTCTAGTCCGCTTATGGCTGAATAGAAAAAAAATCTGGTTTTAAATACGGTCTTAAGCGATTTATAAAACTCATATTATTATTCCTTTTAAAATAGAAAATCGACTTATTTTTAAAAGTGTAAGGTCTTGATTTGCACTTACGATATTAGGTGCTTGATTTTACAATTAATATTGCATTTATAGCAATTTAGATGTCACTTCAAACATATTCTAAAATTTTAATAAATTAGGAATATATGTCTTATTTAGTAGAATAATAAATGCTAAACTCGTAAAGAACGATCAGTTTTTCAAATTTTTCGCAAAAATAAAAATCTGATAATTTATCCTAACATTTTTTTACTAATTTCTATCTAGGAATCCTTTTTTATTATTATGTATAGGATCTATAAGTTTTGTCATGTTAGGGCACTCGTTTTAGTATTTGAATTTATGTAAGTATGCGTTAAGCGAAGCTGATTTGTATTTGAAATACCTGCTTCATTTTACCTGTCGTGGTATATATTTGTAATAATAATTATACAAACAGAATAAGTGTTATATCTACTTATTAATGGTAATATTTCAATCTTAAAAGTCAGCTTCGTTGAAAGCATTCTCGCACGATATTGTTACAGCAATGTAAAATGCAAATAAACTATGCTAGATATCTATGAGTTTGTTGTTTATTTTGTTCTTACATATAATGACCGTTCATGGAATGATGTGAATTTTTATACATATTATAGATCTCAGGAAATAAATATGCAGGCAAATGTTGTGTTTTAATTTCTTATGTAATTTATTGTTTTTCCCCGTGCGTATAAGTTTAGTCGTAAGATCTATCGTAATTACTGATTTTGTAATATTCACTTTTGTAAAAAATTTTAATGTTATACAAGTATGTTTGTATGTGTTATAAAAGTGTAATGTTATGAAGTCAGTAAGTTGTTCACTCACCAAATGTCAGTGGTGAATGAATGATTTCATTCAATCATTCATCATCATCATCATATAAATCATGTTGCAATTTTAAATTAGGATTTGTTGATTGAACGAATGTTTTGTTATTGTTTTTTTTATTATTTGATTTGTGATGAAACAATCGCTTTGCTTCGGATGTATTCCTTTGAATATGATCGGAGCGACCAAAGACTGAATATGAAATAAAAAGACTATTTTAATAATGTGGTATTTTTATTTAAATAATCTTCCCTATACTATATTTTGTTTTTAATTCGTAATGGACAGGCTTTTGGCCGCTATCACGCCTGGTGGTAAGCTATGATGCGACCTACGATGTAGGACGCCTACATATAAGCAACCTATTCACTCAGGCCTTGAAGACACCGGCAAAGAATTCCATTCCTTATCAGTTCTAATTAAAAACTGGATGCGAATTGCTTCGTGCATGTGAGTGGGATATCCACCATGAAGCGATGACGTTTTGCCATTGTCAGTGGTACGATGGTGGAAAGGGACTAGCGAAATCAAGGTGTGAAGCTTCCTCGAACATTCTTCGGAATGTATCCGATAAAAAACCGAAAAAGTAGCAAATTTGCGCCTGTGTTCGAGGCTTTGAAGTCGGGACTCCACTAGCTCATCGTTGTTGATGAGCCTCTTGGCACGCCTCTCAATGTATGTTGTAGTGTAGGTGTTCTAGTGTATCTAGCTGGTGTTTAGCCGAGCCGTCTCACAGATGAGAAAAGTATTCCATACAGAACCGAACTTGAACTTGGTATAAATTAAGCAGTGTTACGACGTGAAGTACCGTCGTTACCGTCGACAAGATGCTCAACTTCCTACCAGTCGGTTGTGACTGACTTTAGGATCCAAAGTTACGGATTAAGTTAAGAGTTACGCCAAGCAGCTCAATATGATATGTCACCGGAACGGACAGACCCCGCTCTCCATCCCTTTCCAGTCCTTAAATATCCGAAACCCTTATCCCCAAAAGGCCGGAAACACTCGTAACTCCTTTGGTGCTGCGAGTGTCCATGGGCGGCATTGATTGCTTACCATCAGGTAAGCCGTCTGCTCGTTGGCCGACCTATTACATAAAAAAATATGATGGAAAAACATATGAATATTTAAATTTTAGCCCAAGTGTGCCCCATAAAATCTTACACGAACATCAAGGTGTTAAAGGATTAATAACAATAAAACGCATAATTAAGAAAAAAATAGTTATATTCACTGGTCCAATTCTTAAAATATATAGATATCACACTAGTCCCTTTGTTGTGACTTGTGTTGAGTTCGAGGGTTTTCACACTACATTCGATTTGAATCCGTGAAGATAGAAGACTTGAGACACAGAATTCAGATATTTAATTTTGTTCAACGGAAATATGGTTCATGGATATTTTAACAGAATTTACTTATAAGTACCTTCATAAAAATTCTTTTGGATTGTCAGTAGATATGCATATGCACTGACTATTGACTGCACGGTTAGTGCGGTGCTGGACAACTGGCTGCCGCGCAACGTATCGCGGGTTCGATTCCCGCACGGAACAACTCTTTGTGTGACCCACAAATTGTTGTTTCAGGTCTCGGTGTCAGGTGTATGGGAAATTGTATGTTTGTTAACGCAACCACGATACAGGAGAAAATCCTAGTGTGGGGCAACGTTTTTTTTAAATGAAAGAAAATATGTAATGATGAAGAATTGATCCCACAATTTGTTCTTTTTTTAACAACTTGTTCTCTGCATTGTTCTGACATATGTGCAGGTCGTATGTTTTTATACATAGTAACGATGAAGTTTCATGCTCGTTCTTCTCCATTCGAAAACTTTGGAACGAGCACGAGGACCCAATTTATTTGCTAGCTTCACTGACGAATAAAACTGACAAATTACTATTCTATTGACGTTTCAAAAGTACCTATTTATGGTTGAGTTGGAATAAATAAATGATTAGACTTTTAGTTTTCTACGACTACCATGGACCATATCTTCACGGATTCAAATCAGGCCTAATGCAGAAATACTCTAACAGCAGTATATCAGAATGAATTATGTTAAATAAATAAATATTACTAGAACACAGTCACACTGCACTTACACTAAATATTGAGCCATTCCATATCTTACAACTAACTCGTTCCACTTAAATATAACAATATAAAAATCTTATTTACAATTATAATGAAATTTGCTAATTATTTAGTACGCTAACACAAAACATGCACTGTCTGAACATTTATAATATTATATAATCTTTTTAAATTTGCTTTGTTGTTTAGAATTTACCAATAAGGTTAAATAAAGTAAAAATATTAATGTATACAATACATTTATACTATGTATTGCCTAATCGGCAAACTGTCACTGTTTCCTCCCAGTAAAACAATCACTGGTAAAAAATATTAAAGACATTTCCTATTTAAAACCTCAGGTTATATAACAAAAGGTTATATAATCTGAGTTGAAAATCTATGTATTTCATCCAACTTGGATAGATATTAAAGTGCTTCACTGTATCAAACAAAATTAACATTTGATAATACAGTAGTCTCAAGCTAGTCAAATTCAATACTTTTATCCAAATGTCAAAAACGATTATTTTCTATGAAATTTGTATAAAACGCTGAGTTATGACATTTGAAACGTCGAATTATTTTTTGACCTAGGAAACTTCCCAAAACGCTGGTATAATAATTAATTGGGTCGTTTCCTAGGTTAAAAATAAATTAATTTGACGTTTCAATGCAATAGAATATTGAAAAATTATTCATCGATCAATCGCTACTAGTGTATTTTAGATATTTTGTAACTAATTATTAAAAAACAAGCAATTTGACGGGAAAATACTATGACGTCATAACTCAGTTTTTCATACAAATTTCATAGAAAAGTATCGTTTTTGACATTTGGATAAAAGTATTGAATTTAACTAGTTGGAAACTACCGTATTATGTCACACACTGAACCAAATAGAAGTTCCCGCATAGGCGATAACAATTACAGTATCCAGTCGCACGCTGCTCATGAAAGAGCCCCGTTGTGACTTGAAGCAGTGCTTTGACGATGGAATCACCAGAGTAAGTTACTATTTTCAATTACCTACGTGGATGATCACGATTATTATTCGCTATGCATTTACAAAGAGAACACATATCCATCACTGCATAAGACGAAGTTCGGAATCCCTTTTTTGAGGAAGAAAAATAATCTATATAGGTAATTTCTCCCACCTTAGGAGACTCTTACTGGCTAAAAACCACCTCGTTGTTTCTTGCTTCGAGCTTTATTATTGATACACATAAATCGCTTCTAACTGACAGATTTGGTGATCATTATTAATCTAAAATCTATCCAATTTCTTAATTATTCATTGAATTTTCGACTTTATTTCACAAAATAATAAAGTTAAAAATCCGAATTTCTATAGCCTTTTAAAGGACACACGACTTAGGTACTAGTTAAACTAAAAGACATAATTATTTCGAAAACTTAAAAACGTGGCAACATTGAAGTATTTTGGCATAGCTTCCAATATGGCGCGGTACTCGGCTGTCATCTGCTCGGGGTGGTAGATCTTGTGGGAGTGGTGGGAGACTTCCACTATTGGCTGCCACTGCAGTGATGGGGGGACCTGCCACGGAAAACATTTGTCATTTTTGCGAATAGCATTTTAGCACAAGTGTAAACGTAACTCAACCAAAAATATATAAAAAACTATCACTCACTCATGAGTAATAGTATTGAAAAAGTCACAGTTTGATTATAGGTGTCATTACGTGCCTAATTGCCAAAGGATTAGAGCCACTTTATGAGGAAGTGTGTTGAAAAGTATTTTAAGTGTGGGAGAGCCATTTCGGCACGAATGGGTCGGCTCGACCGGCGTGATACCACGGCCTCACAGCAAACCGGCGTGAAGTAACACTTACGTTGTGTTTCGACGTGTGAGTGAGGTTATCGGAGACCCAAGTCTTTCCCGCTCCCCCTAGATCCAATTCTCAAATCCACTATACTTAAATCCCTAATAACCCACAATAGGTCGACAACGCACTTTTAGTGTAACTCCTTTCGTACTACGAATGTCCATGGGCGGCGCTGATTGCTTACCATCAGGTAATCCGTCTGCTCGTTTGCCGACCTACCTAACGAATAAAAAACACTCACATTAAAAGTGACATCGAGGTGGAAATCAATGGAATCCCCGAAGTATGTTGCAGCCGAGTGATAAATGACGTATACAGGACGCTGCAGGGCGTCCGCGCTTGGCTCCGGCGCTGAGGTCAGGGACCATGACGAGATGGTCACGTTGGCACATGGCCATAGAGTTATCATGTTGTGGTGAGCTCCTGTACAAAGAGAGGTTTGAGTCTTTAGATGGTTGATACAATCATTTACTTTTGGCTAATTAGGTTTTCAGACCTATATTTTAAAACAAATAACGATTTAAAAAGCACTAGGATTTTCTTGTTTTGTGGTTGCATTTACAAACATACAATTTCATATATCTAGGTACACATCACACCCAGACCCGGAACAACAGTTTGTGGATCACACAAAGAGTTGTTCCATGGTATTTACCTAAATCGATGTTAGCTAGTGAACTGAATTTAAATAATCTTTGTATGTATTTTATACGAGCTCTTTAATATAAAAAGATTTACTAAGATTGTTTACCTTTAGTGAACCACCTAACCACCACGTCGTGGTGGCCCGGAGGTTAACGAGCCCGCTTCTCATGCATGACGGTGCGGGTTCGAAACCTGGCAAGTACCAATGTGACTTTTTTCGAGTTATATGTACATTCTATGATTATTTAGACACCACTGACATACGGTGAAGGTAAACATCGTGAGGAAACCTGGACTTATAATTTCTAATTATAAGTTTGAAATCGCCAACCCGCATTGAGCAAGCGTGGTGATTAATGCTCTAACCTTCTCGGCATGAGAAGAGGCCTTTGCTCAGCAGTGGGCACTTATAGGCTGATGATGATGATGAACCACTTAAACCAAAAGAGCATAGTACCATATTGTAACTGCACGGTTGGTGCGATGGCCGTGCAACTTGTCGCAGGTAAATTTTGTTGTGATTAACAAATTGTTGTTCCGGGTCTGGGTGTGATGTTTATGTGCAATTGTATGTTTGTAAACACACCAACGACACAGAGGAAAATCCTATTGTGGGTCAACGTTTCTAAAAAAATATTTGTAAATAAAAATAAGACTGACCAGTAAAAACGAAGCTATATGTGCACTGGTCCCCGGCACAAGATCTGTTCGCTACTCTCGTTGAGGCCGGCGGGTCGAAGCGGTCTGGCGGACCCGTGTACAAGAACATCGCATCCTTTCTGTAGGCGACATTGAACATTATTATAAAATAGATTATGGTAATAAATAAATAAGTGTGGGAGAGCCATACTTTGGCACGAATGGGTCGGCTCGACCGGAGTGATACCACGGCATTACAGAAAACCGGCGTGAAAAAAGCACAGCGTTGTGTTTCGCCGTGTAAATGAGGTTACCGGAGGCCCAATTCTTCTCCAATATCCTAATCCCCAAAATGTCGGCAACGCACTCGTAACTGCTCTGTTGCGGGTGTCCATGGGCGGCGCTGATTGCTTACCATCAGGTAATCCGTTTGCTCGTTTGCCGGCCTATTACATAAAAAAAATATTTGCTGTGTGGTGATGGCGGAGAAGAAAACATTTTACACCACCATTCTTTCCGTGGGTATCTAAAGACATAGAAAACAAGAGGTCTATTTCTTCCCAACCTCCAATCCAATTCCAATTGTTACACATTCCAAATGCTTTTGTGTAACGTCGCTTTTGTGGGGAAATGAACGAAATGAATGTGTCAGAGTAGGAGGGACTTTAATATCCTCTGTAGGGTCCATACTTCTGTATTTCACCGGGCTTCTGTGGATGATGTTGGGACGACCAGTTCAACCCGGTGCTGTTCTTCCATTGAATGAGTTCCGAAGGTCAAGTTTTTCAGGTGACGTCTTTGTTACGAGGGTAGTCGCGACCTTTTCAAAAGTCCACAGTACTGGCCGGCTGCCCCTCAGAAAGTTCCAATGACGACTCGATTGTAACATATCCATATTTTTTTTAACCGACTTCAAAAGAATGAGGGAATATTCTCAATTCGTCGGCATCTTTTTTTTTAAAATAATCCAAACTAATATAATCAATGCGAAAGTAACACTGTCTGTCCATCTGTCTGTCTTTTCTTAACGCCTAAACTACTGAACCTATTTGTGTGAGCTACAGACATAGTTTGTAACTCGACAAAGGACATAGGATAGTTTTTAAACCAAAAACCTGCAGGAAATTACTATTGCAAGTGAACAAAGTCTCGGGCAAAAGCTAATTAATAAATAATCATCAAATCCTTAATCCCTCAAAAGGCCACACATTTACAGCTTGTTTAGAAGTGCGGGTTTTTTTTTGTGAGGGGAAAACCATCCAATGACTTCTCCCGCCCAGGGCCGGTAGGAGGGAGTGTCAGACTCTTACTGACTAAAAACCCCCCTGTTCCTTCTCCTGCTCTGTGCCGAGGTCGCGGTACCTCATTGCGCTTACCCCGCAACCCCGGCTGAACATCAGCCCTTTAGGGCCCCATCTGTGGTGGTCGAATGGCTCTTTGCGTCGCGCGCGGAACGCTACGCGCCGTACGCTCGGGCCTGGTTCTTAGAAGTGCGGGTGGCGGCGACTTTTCTGACATTCCCATCAGATGATGCCAGATTTATTGATCTATTCAATGTTAATTAATATTTATACTATTTATTATAAGTGTGTTAATTTAAATGTTTGTTTGTTTTAGATTGTGTCGTGTGATTTGGATTAAATTTTTGTCAACTTAGCTTTAATTTTACTTTTTTGTTCAAAATTTATTAATAATTTTTATTTTAATAACCGCGCATAATATTATACTGCTTGCTGTGCTTCTCTATAAGTAATGGGGCACTTAGAATTAAATTTGTAATGTACAATTTATATAGTATAGTGTTGTGCTGTGCTCAGTGTAGAGAAGCCTAAATTAATTAATAAATAAATACACTATATAAAAAAAGTCGTAAACTGTACTTACAAAAATCTCGAAAAACCAGTCCTGAACAGTGGTAGACCACAGAAGACTTGCTTCTCGCAATCCTCACTGAAGTCTGTTCTGGATTCAAGGTTGTATCCCGCGGCAGACAGGGCGCTCCGTACCCGGGGTGCAGAGTAAGCGTCGTGTTTCGTTACCACTATCCCTGAAGTGGAGTGCACTAACTGGCCCGAGATGTCATATGTAGATATTTGTGAATGCTAAAATTAAATAAAAAAAATATTAGGTATGTTTAATTATCCCCTTAGAGTAGGTTTTTAGTCAGCAAGAGTCTAATATGTCATGGTGGCCTGGAGGTTAAGGCGTCCACATACCATACTTGACCCCTTAAGCATGGTATGTGGACGCCTTTCGAAACCCGGAAAATTTCGAAATTCTAATTATAAATTTGAAATCGCCAATCCGCCTTGAGCAAGCGTGGTGATTAAAGCTCAAATGTTCTCTATGTGAGAAGCGGCCTTCGCTCAGCAACGAATATTTTTTTTTTAAGTAATAAGTCGGCAAACGAGCAGACGGATTACCTGATGGTAAGCAATCAGCGCCGCCCATGGACACCCGCAATTGATTGATTTGATTTGATTTGGGCCTCCGGTAACCTCACTCACACGGCGAAACACAACGCTGTGGTTGTTTCACGCCGGTTTTCTGTGAGGCCGTGGTATCACTCCGGTCGAGCCGACCCATTCGTGCCGAAGCATGGCTCTCCCACACTTAAATAATATATAATAGAATAAAAATACTTACAAACCAGTAATGCCTCTGTAGAGCGATGCCATTTTCGTCGTAGGGCGAGAATGGTATGAACATTAGTACGACACAGGCCACGCCCACTGTAGATAGAACCAGCCACAGGAACTTGCGAGAGAACAACAATTCTATGCCCGACTGTGGAACAAATATGAAGATATGAGAAAGAATTTTATTAAGAAGTATATAGCTACTCCCGCGCGGTTTCACTCGCTGCTAGGCTCCATTTGATTGTAGCGAGATGTTTTATAGCCTATAGCACTCAGGAACATTGTAGCTATCTATCAGTGAAAGAATTTTGGCAATCCGACCAGCGGTTCCAAAGATTGACCCCTACATACAAACTTACAAATACCTCTTTATAATATTAGGTATAGAAAACTCGATCCAATATAAGTTATACCGTCTGATTTGATAAATTAAGGGCAGACAGGTTAGTTTCATATACCCAGTTTTCATCGTATGTATAAGGTGAACGTTCTGAAGAGGTTCCGTTTTTGCCCTTTCATTCGATCAACCCTGCCATGCCAATCGGTAGATTGAAATCCTTTTCATGTTCCTTCCATAATCTTATATTTTTTTTAAAACTAGTGATTCCCTCTTCCCCCAACCTAAAAGGGGGAAATGTCATTATTCTGCTATTATATTATAATCTAATATTATAAATGCGAAAGTAACTCTGCTTTTCTACGCGCCTAAACTACTGAACCGATTTCTGTGAAATTTGGTACAGACACAGTTGGGAACTCGAGAAAGGACATAGGATAGTTTTTATACCAAAAATCTGCAGGAAGTCGCTATTCCACGCGAACGGAGTCGTGAGCAAAAGCTAGTATAATATATGTATATCAGAGTTAGGAGACGCCCTTTTAATCTTGAGCAAATTTCGTTTTACTCCTTAAAATGCTGGTAATGAAGATAGTATATTTTTTTATATCATCAGCCGACAAATGAGATTAGTAAGATAGTAGATTTATTACATGACGGTAAGCAATCTACGTCATCCATGGACACCCGTAACAACAGAGGAGTTACGAGTGCGTTGCTGACTGTTTGAGGATAAGGAGATTTAGGGATTGGGGGAGGAGAAGGATTCGGCCTCCGGTAACCTCACTCACACGACGAAACACAGCGCTGTTAATTTACGCCGGTTTTCTGTGAGGCCGTGGTGTCACTCCTGTGGCCGACGCATTCGTGCCGAAGCATGGCTTTTAAATTAATTTGAAATATACTTACAACAGTGCAAGACACGAGTATAACTAGCGCCAGGTTAATCATGGCGACGGTGAGATCAGGCTTGTCTCCAGCGGAGCGTCCCATGACGGGCAGTATCTGCGCGTCCAGGCGGAGCGCCAGCGACAGAGTCAGCATGGACGATGGCAGCGATAGGACTAGTTCCATCAGGAGGTGTTGCCAACCTGGGGGACATACTTATATTAATACTAGCTTCCCCCCGTGGCTTCACCCGCGTGGTATTAAGATAAAAAGTAGCCTATGTCCTATTCCGGAATGTATCCTATGTCTGTGCCGAATTTTATTCAGATCCTAACATCCTAACATCGTAACTTGCGCATTTATAATATTAGTAACATCTTACTAATAATATAAATGTGTTTGTAAGAATGTATAGATGTATGTTTGTTACTCCTTCACGCTATAACGGCTGGATCGTATTGGTTGAAATTTGGTATGTAGATAGGTGGTGCCTTGGATTAACACATGCTTATCTATACTAATATTATATAGAGGTAAAATTTGTAAGTTTGTATGGAGGGTAATCTTAGGAACCGCTAGTCGGATTGCCAAAATTCCTACTTATTGCTGTTACTGAGTGAGTAGTAGCATGGGCCTCTAACACAGCTTGAAACTAATCGAGTATCTCGTCAAATTATTAAGCGAGTAAGCCGAAAACATAATAAATAATTAAGAATGTCTCACGAAAGTTATAATAAAAATATAGTTTTACAATTGAGCACAGAACTTTCTTACTAACTAATTCAATTTTTAGGTTTTATTGTGTCTGTGTATTTTTGAGTAAATACAACACGCTAGGTAGCATTTGTCGTGTAATGACGAAATCTCGACTGTCACATGAATATTAGGTCTACCTACACTATACTTAATTAATATTTAAAAAAAATAAGCAAGTATCTACATAACTAAACCATACATAACAGGTTTTAAAATGAGTGTTATTTATAAGAAATAGTATCTCATTGTCATAGTTCAGTTAAAAATAAGATGGAAGCGTATTGAATATTTACGTTGTTTGATTGTTGAGTCACTTTTGACTTCACTTAGAACTTTAATAATTGAAATATAAATTTAAAATTTAAAAACCTCCCGACAAAAAATGTAATTTTTCTTTAAAAAGTAATAATAAAAAAAAAAACGTGTCGTTGGGAGACCGATCCAAACATTTGATTATCTACTACATATTTCTATTTTGTCGGGGGTCTAATTTACTCTCGATTATGTCATCAACATTCCCTTTCAGTGCGCTTTCATTTGACGCCCCACTCGAGTATTGCAGACCGTCGGTTACCCTTCCCCACTTACCCCCCATAACTTCTAAGCGGCTCAACCGATTTTTGTCAAACGTGTCTAAGAACACTCCCACGTAAGTCACCTTTAATACAAAAAACTAAATTGAAATCGCTTCATCCTTTCAGGCTCCAGGATGCCACAGACAGACAGACAGACAGACAGACACGTCAAAGTTATAACAACACTCTTCTGCCGTCGGGTGTCAAAAATAACAATTACAAGAGCCACTGACCTCTTAGCGGTACAAATCTGAGTACGGTGAGGGAGGCTAGTGATGTGAAGGCCATGATGAAGAGTGGCGCGCTGAAGATGTACCGCAGCGACGTGAGGGGGGGCACGCAGCACAACACTAGCAGGGTGGCAGACACCAGCAGCCGGGTCGCCGCCATGCCTTGCGCGCAGCGGAGGGACCGACTCAACCCTGTCTGAACCAAGAGTACACCCATAAGAGGTAGGTGAGGGAGAGCCAAGCTTCCACACGAATAAGCCAGCTCAAAAATGTAATTACGTTTATTCCTTTTCAAATATCTAATTATCATTACTAAAAATCAGTTTGTAGGGCAAAGAAAAATGCCATGGTGATTGCCAAAATTGTTAGTGTTTAGTAGTAGTTAGTGTGGGAGAGCCATGCTTCGGCATGAATCGGGGTCGGCTCACCCGGAGTGATACCATGGCCTCATAAAAAACCGGCGTGAAACAACCACAGCGTTGTGTTCGCCATGTGAGTGAGGTTACCGGAGGTTATCTCTACAAGGCCGGTAATGCACTCGAGCTTTTTTGGTGATGCCCATGGGCGGCGCCGATTGCTTACCATCAAGTAATCTGCATATTTGCCGACATAAAAAAAACTGCTTCATCACCAGCAGACCTATAAGTACCCACGGCTGAGCCTCTTCTCTCAAGGAGAAGATTTGAGTATTATCAGAAGATAAAATATAGTAATAGATCTGTCAGACGAAAATTCGTAGGCCGTTGCATTAAATAGCAACTTATGACGTCATAATCTTCTTGCGTTAAATATCATGATTATTTAAAAAATCAACAATACATGTAGTATATTTGTACAGTGCAAGCACGCACACATTTGATCTGACACATCTCTGCGTCAGCACTTTACTATTAGCTACGCGCGCTCCATACTTTAGTACACAATTATCACTCAATCACGTGCACTCATTATCATTCAATTTAATTATATTATTTCGTACTCTTTGCGTATGTATCAACTATCATCATTAAAAGGTGTAAAGACCCTACATCTTTATGGTCCTTCGAGCCGGAGAAGGGATCCTTTGGTCCATCGATACATTAATGACAGTAAATACCAAATTTTTCAATATTTTATTGTATTGAAACAGATAATCTATAATAATAATAATAACCTTACCGTCTTGAAGGTGTAAGCGTCGAATGCCTGGGAGACTGCCACGGCTACGATGAGGTACGGCACCCAGTACAAAGGTACCACCAGCCAGGGCTCAGACAGGTACCTGAAATATTACACTTGAATTACAATTTATGGTCACTTTTCTCGTTTTTTTTTTAAAGAATCTCTCGTATTTCAATATGTTTGTTTATTAACTAAAAATCGCGGACGTGAGCGTGCGCGGACGCGGCGACGTAGCCTGCTCATGAGGAAGAACCCCTCTCTTCTAAACTAGTAGAGCTTTTCTCAATATTTACACGTGAGTAACACGCGATTTTTAGTATGTCTCACGATAGTTATTATAAAAACATGTTTGTTTATGTAGTGTGTGTGTGTGTGTGTGTGTGTGTGTGTGTGTGTGTGTGTGTGTGTGTGTGTGTGTGTGTGTGTGTGTGTGTGTGTGTGTGAATGTGTGTGTGTATGTGTGCGTGTGTGTGAATGTGTGTGTGTGTGTGTGTATGTGTGTGTGTGTATGTGTGTGTGTGTGTTTGTGTGTGTGTGTGTGTGTGTGTGTGTGTGTGTGTGTGTGTGTGTGTGTGTTAAAATACATATACTGACCTTAATTGCACAGTGGTAGCCATCATAATAAGCGTGAGTACCAGTACGACGGCCGCACCAACCACCATAGCTATCACGCGACTGAACGCACTCAGCAATAGTTTCGTCACTGTCGACCACCCTGTTCATGAAAGCCATAGTAAGTTGAAACTTTTTTCATTTATATACATGACATCTCACACAGCATAATATTTGAAAAAGGCCAGTTCAAAATAAATTGATTATGATTTTAGATTATAATTTTATATAAGTAAATGCAAGTCTTTAAAAGCTACAAAAACTAAAGTAAATTACATCGTCAAATTAATCGAAAAGTCAAAAATCATTTATTTCAATTAAACCCTTACAAACACTTTTGAAGCTCAAATTAACCATAGAATCATAAGAAAAACTAAAAATGTGACAAAACAAAAGTATAAAAAACGTACTGAACCCAACGATCCATATGTAGTAGGTGACGCTGGTGAGCCCCAGCAATGCTATCAGAACATCTACGAAGTAAGATCCGAACAGCGAGTAATTCACCAAAAACACGTTCAAGTAGTCGTAGTACACCGCCGCTGAAGGCTCAATCTGAATAAGAAAGAAAATGGAGAAAAGTTATTAATTATATTTAAAGTAAGTTTAAATTCCATCTTAAAGACGTTGCAGGTCAAGTCTGAAGTCAGAATAGATGCAGATAAATATAACGATTCAGTAACAGGTATAATTATTATGCGGAAAGAAATGGTACAAGTTCATTCAGGTATTGTTAAGGATATAGATGCAGAAACCGGGAAGGGTACAATTACAGGACATATAGATGCAGACACAGATAAAGGTACAGATATAGATAAAGATACAGTAACAGATAAAGATGAAGACACAGGGAAGGGTATACTAGTTAGGGATAAAGATACAGAGACAGGGAAGGGTATACTAGTTACAGATAAAGATACAGAGACAGGGTAGGGTATACTAGTTAGGGATAAAGATACAGAGACAGGGTAGGGTATACTAGATAGGGATAAAGATACAGAGACAGGGTAGGGTATACTAGTTAGGGATAAAGATACAGAGACAGGGTAGGGTATACTAGTTAGGGATAAAGATACAGAGACAGGGTAGGGTATACTAGTTAGGGATAAAGACACAGAGACAGGGTAGGGTATACAAGATAGGGATAAAGATACAGAGACAGGGTAGGGTATACAAGATAGGGATAAAGACACAGAGACAGGGTAGGGTATACAAGATAAGGATAAAGATACAGAAACAGGGTAGGGAATACTAGTTAGGGATAAAGATACAGAGACAGGGTAGGGTATACTAGTTAGGGATAAAGATACAGAGACAGGGTAGGGTATACTAGTTAGGGATAAAGATACAGAGACAGGGTAGGGTATACTAGTTAGGGATAAAGACACAGAGACAGGGTAGGGTATACAAGATAGAGATAAAGATACAGAGACAGGGAAGGGTATACTAGTTACAGATAAAGATACAGAGACAGGGAAGGGTATACTAGTTAGAGATAAAGATACAGAGACAGGGAAGGGTATACTAGTTACAGATAAAGATACAGAGACAGGGAAGGGTATACTAGTTACAGATAAAGATACAGAGACAGGGAAGGGTATACTAGTTACAGATAAAGATACAGAGACAGGGAAGGCTACACTAGTTAGAGATAAAGATACAGAGACAGGGTAGGGTATACTAGTTAGGGATAAAGATACAGAGACAGGGTAGGGTATACTAGTTAGGGATAAAGATACAGACACAGGAAAGGGTATACTAGTTACAGATAAAGATACAGAGACAGGGAAGGGTATACTAGTTACAGATAAAGATACAGAGACAGGGAAGGGTATACTAGTTACAGATAAAGATACAGACACAGGTAAATGTGCAGTTACAGATGAAGATACAGACACAGGTAAATGTGCAGTTACAGATGAAGATACACACAGGGAAAGGTACAGTTACAGATAAAGGCGCAGGCACAGGTAAAAGTACAATTACAGACATAAATACAGACACAGGGAAGGATATTCAAATTAGAAATAAAACAAACACTTGTAAAGGCGCAGACTCAGGTAAAGGTGCAGTTATAGATATAAACTTAGGCAAAGGGAAAGGTTCAATTACAAGTATAAATGCAGACACAGGTAAAAGTACAGTTACAGATATAAATGCAGACCAGAGAAGGGTATACTAGTTAGGAGTAAAGATACAGACACTTGTAAAGACACAAATATGGATAAAAATACAGACACAGGGAATGTTATAGTTACACATATATAAATGCACACGCAGAAAAGTGTGTACTAGTTAGAGATAAAGATACAGTCACAAGTAAAGGTTCAGTTACAGATACAAATGGAGACACAGGTAAAAGTACAGAATAAGATGTAGACACAGGGAAAAGTATAGTTACATATATAAATGCAGACCAGAAAAGGGTCTACTAGTTAGAGATAATGATACAGACACTTATAAAGGCACAGATAAAGATAAAGATGCAAACACAGGAAAGGTTATAGTTACAGATATAAATGCAGGCACAGGTAAAGGTACAGATAGAGATGGAGACACACGGAAAGGTACAGGTAGAGATGCAGACACAGGGAAAGGTACATATATAGTAAAAATAAAGGTACAGACAATAAAGGCACAGATAAGGGAAGGGTTTAGTTGCAGATATAAATGCAAATACAGGTAAAGGTATACTAGTTAGAAATAAAGATATAGACACTTGTTAAGGCACAGATACAGACACAGAGAAAGTTACAGATACAAGTGCAGACACTGATAAAGGCACAGTTACAGATACAGGTCCAGGAAAGGTAAAACTGCAGATATTTAGTTGGTGGATGCCTTGTATTAACACAATATAGGCTGCTTTTCATCAACATACCACCCGGGCGAAGCCTTGGACAAAAGCTAGTCAATATATAATTAGTAAATTGACCTTGTTACTCAGTTCGTCCATGGAAGCGGTCTCGGCGAGCAGGGCCAGCATCATGTCGCCGGCGCCCTGCAGTACGCCGGGCTGCAGTAGCTCGGGCTTGTCGTTGCGCGTGTGGTATACACTAGCCCACTTCACAAACGCTATGTCTATGCCTGAAATACAGGAATAATAGTAATACACATTACTATTAAATTATAAAGAATAAATACAGATCATACAACATGAATTATGGACTAACTTCATGATCTTTTTTTCACAATAGGATTTTTTATTATACCGTGGGTACGTTAACAAACATACAATTTCGCATACTCATCATATCTAGAAGCAGTAAAACAATTTGTAGACCACATAAGGATTTTTCAATAGTCAGAGAACATTTATCCGATATTTTTTTTTTATATGTAATTGATCGGCAACCTAGCAGACGGATTACCTGATGGTAAGTAATCAGCGCCGGCCATGGACACCCGCAACGTAGGAGTTACGAGTGCGTTGCCGACCTTTTAGGGACTAGGGATTCGGAGATTTAGGGATTGAGGAGGGATTGGGGGTGGGGAAGGATTGGGCCTCCGGTAACCTCACTCACACGGCGAAACACAACGCTGTGGTTGTTTCACGCCGGTTTTCTGTGAGGCCGTGGTATCACTCTGGTCGAGACTATCTAAATGATTTACAATTGAAATATTTACTTTTATTTTTATTGTAAAACCGTATCAGATGGCATTCTATACTTTAACTTTACATTCTGTACTTGTTCCCCAGACGTAGCCAGATATACTTTTTTTAAAGAATCCACCCTAATAACTTTTAAATGCACGCCATCTAGTGCTGGTTCGTATAAACGATACTGTATGCTAGGTAAATATTATTTTTGTACTATATGTCGAATTAAATCGGTCACTATGCTGTATTTTAATTAATTTCGATAAAGTTTAAGGTCAGGTTGTCGCCCAACTATATCTGTAACTTAATATTGTTCCGATCACACTCAAAATAAAATAACATCGAAAATGCTGAATTTAACGCCATCTAGCGGGAAAATGGCAATGAGCAGCCCGTATCATTCTCCCTATGAAGTATCGTTTGTAAAGGCCGACCGATATGTGAGAGAGCGGTGTAGTGTCCAAAGAATTGACTCTGGTGACCTCACTCACACAGCTAAACACAACACTGTGGTTGTTTTTAGCCGATGGTTGTTTTTTGTGAAGCCGTGGCATAACACAGGTCGAGTTGACCCATTTGTGCTAAAGTTTGGCTTTCTTATAGATGGTCGAAATCGGCACTAACAGATTGGATGGAGCAATTCGCTCACACCGCAAAGTAGTAATTAGTAAATGTTATCTTAGATTTATTCTATTTCTGACCTTGTATATTCCCGAAGTCCCTCCATATCCTGAAATCGGTATCGGAAGGTATGATTCCGTTGGAGAATATGAACTCTGCCATTCCTTGGGCGTTGGGTTGCGGCGCGGAGCGGTGGTATGCTTCCAGTACGCGAGGGTCTGTCACCTAGGAAACATACGATAAAAGTACAACTTTGAAAATGTTAAGAGTTAATTATAAAGAACTAATCAGAGTTCACAAGATATAATTAAGCAGGTATTCATACAAAGAGTAATTATTTAAATACCTTGGAAGGCTTGACGTTTCGACCTAGTTGTAGAGGTCGCGGTCGCAAGCAGACTGACATAAAATGAGGAATTTTGTTAACATATTAAAATTGTTTTCAACTATACAACGAAACATGCATTTCTCGATGGAGCATGGCTCTCTCACAGTTCCTGATATTGATCAATGCTTAGAATTGTTGAATTATGATGGAAAAAGATTCAATCCTTTAGCTTGTTCTAGCACCTCGATTAAGTGTAGGAGAGCCATCGACCGCAGTGATAGCACGGCATCACACAAAACTAGTGTGAAACAACCGTAGCGTTGTGTTTCGCGCATGAATAAGGTTTCCGGAGGCCTAAACCTTCCCCCACCCCAATCCCTGATCCCCAAAAGGTAAAAACGCACTCGTAACTCTTCTGTTGTTGCGGGTGCTTACCATCAGGTAATCCGTTTGCTTGTTAGCAAAATTATGACTAAATGAAGCAAGGTTTGGTCACCTGGAATACTGTAGGTTTGCCGTTCATCCCCGCTGCGTCCAAGTTGATTACGGCGACGGCGCCCCTCGCCCATGGATGCTGCAGGAACGCGTGGCTTGCCTATAACATATAATTAAATTATATTCAAAGAAGAAGGTAGACACCTCTGATGAATTTATAATTATAAGTTTGAAATCTATTTAAAATGACAACTTACGCGAATCAACGGAGAAAATCTCAGCTTTTTTCAAGTCATAACCTATACCCCAATTTTTCAGAATATGGGTTTCTTGTTGCGTTAACATAAGAAACCCACATCCACATTGGATTGTTATTGTAAAAAGAAATTGTATGATATTTTACGAGACCCCCCTCTTCCCAACGTGAGATTAGATGAGATTGGACTCGAGCCCCACATCCCTAAAAGGCCCTTCCATAAGTTATGGATAGGTAGTCGGTACGAGTCTGACACTCCCTATCACTTCATTCTGAACAAGAAGTCATTAGATGATTTAGCCTCACAAAAAAGCGTTATAACGAAATTACCTGCAATCCATTTTCCTCAGCTCCATTGAATAGGAACAGTATATTGTGCTTGAGTTTCTGTTTACTGCGCGAGAGTCGGTTCAAGGATTCCGCCATTATTGCGCAGAACACAGCGTTATCCGACGCTCCTGTAACGTTAAAATATAATATATCACTACAAGTGTGGGAGAGCCATCCTTCGGCACGAATGGGTCGACTCGACCGGAGTGATACCACGGCCTCACAGAAGACCGGCGTGAAACAACCACAGCGTTGTGTTTCGACGTGTAAGTGAGGTTACCGGAGGCCCAATCCTTCCCCGCCCCCAATCCCTAATCCCTAAAAGGTCGGCAACGCACTCGTAACTCCTTCGTTGCGGGTATCCATAGGCGGCGCTGATTGCTTACCATCAGGTAATCCGTCAGCTCGTTTGCCGGCCAATTACATAAAAAAAACATAGTATAAAACAAAGTTGCTTTCTCTGCTCCTATATCCCTATGTATGCTTTTTATGTTGCTATTTATGTTTTTTTAATAGATAAAGTGAATAAAGAGGAATGTTTATTTGTAAAATAACATCTATTAAACAGTGGTGAGATTCAGTTTCCCGGGGCAGTTCGTTTGATATACATATTTTACAAGGCATGTAACACAAATTATCAAAAATTATCATGTTTCTTACTGGTTAAAAATTACACCGTATCGCGCTCGCTTGCACTGTTAACTGCGGCTGCACATCTCCCTTTGTACCTGGGACCTTTTGTGGCTCGTCGAAGAAGTGAATTTTATTTGAGATTTGTCATTTTAAAATTAACTTACTTACCAAGAGCAAAAGGTACAGAATCGTAATGGCAGTTCACCAGTATGGAGCTCCCTAGGCTGCCATTAGAAAGGAATCCACTCTCTCCCTCAAGTAAGGCGACGATATTTGACGCGTTCTCATATACATTGTAAAATGACGAACTTGATTTATGGAAATAATCACCTGGAAGATACAACATTATTATGTAATCATAATGACACACTAGGATTTTCTCCTGTAACGTGGGTGCATTTACAAATATTCAATTTCATGTACACATGACACCCAGATCCGGAACAACAATTTGGGGATCAAACAAGGACTTGTTACGTGCGTGAATCGAACCCGCTATATGTTGCGCCGCAGCCGATTGCAGAATCTAAATTTATGGTAAACCTAAATCTTTTGAAATATTATCTCTACTTCTAGGCACGAAGGTTATGGCAAATTCCTCTTATGGAGGGCCATTGTCCAACAGTGGACTACAACCGACTATTCATCAACTACATCATCATCACTAAAGGAATTTTCTACTAGTTTCTGCCAGTTTGCGCCCTCGTTACCAGGAGGAAAACTGGTCCATGTGTTATTCCAGACTATAATCATTTCATCCAGATTCACTTGTCTATCTATACTAACAAACTTTCGGTTTTGTATTATTGCTAATAATATAAAACAACGGTAACATTGTTCTAATCACACTCAAAATTAAATAACACCGAAAATTCTGATTATAACGCCATCTAGCGGGAAAATAGCCAAGATCAGCGTATCAGATGTTAACAATACAAAGTATCCGTTTTTTTAACTATTCCTGATGGTTCCACAACCGGGTAAAGGCCTACTTGCTCTTTTATCTCTAGTATTTAAATAACTAAACCTAAACTTACCAGTGGCAATTTGCCAGTCAGTCTGTACTTTCTGATGGGCTTTGCTTGCGATCTCGTCAAGCATGAACTTCAAATCTTTAGTCTTGTTCAGGTGGTATGGCGTGCCTGATACTCTCGGTTCATCTCCTACTATACGCGTCAAGTATTTAAGAGCTGCGTCCTCGCTGAATTTGGAGGAGTCCTGAAAAGTATTCGAGTGAAAGGTAAACATTATTAGCTTAAGACTTTTTATTGTTTTTTTTTTATGCAATAAGTCGGCAAACAAGCAGACGCATTACCTGATGGTAAGCAATCGGCGCCGCCCATCGACACCCGCAACACCAAAGAAGTTACGAGTGCGTTGCCGGCCTTTTGGGGATAGGGGTTACGGATATAAGGATTGGGAAGGGATAGGGGAAGGGGAGGGATTGGGCCTCCGGTAACCTCACTCACACGGCGAAACACAACGCTGTGGGTTGTTTCACGCCGGTATTCTGTCAGGCCGTGGTATCACTCCGGTCGAGCCGACCCATTCGTGCCGAAGCTTAGCTCTGCCACACTTATAATGATCGAAAATGTCCAAAGCGAAGAAGGTTTTGGACAATTTTCGAAAAGGCAACCTGTCTAGGGTGAGCCTGTAGAAGTGTCAGACTCTTACTGACTATGAAACACTCTTCTCCTGCTCCAAGCCGAGGGTAGGGCGAGATCAATCTCTCACCCAGGAGAGAAAAGTCATTAGACGGTTTTGCTCCTGAAAAGAGGAACTTGTCCCCCTTAAATACTAACTCAGTTACTGTTCCAAAGAATGGTAACAAACTGAATTAACTTAGTCAAATTTTATGGGCGACGGCGGCAAACAAGCCCCGGGGCAGGCAGCAAGAGACGGATCACCTGATGGTAGGCAAGCGTCTTCCATTGCCACGCACAGACTAGTTACAAGTGCGTCGTCGATCCGTCGGCGTTTGGAGAAATTGTTAGAGATCGTGTATGGCGGAAGGGGGCGGATTTTTTTCCTAATACTTACATCAACAGAAACATCTTTGTCGAGGACAACTGAAGGCATGGCGTCTTCAACCAGCTGTGTCAAGTAGCCCAACAGTAAATATACGCCTAGCACTACTATCAGTAGTGTACTTGGTACCTGTAAAATGGTAAATATAGTATAAATATAATTTAATATATGGGTATATTTTTATTTCTTTCTTTGTTGCATGTCTAAGTAAGTATATACATAATAATATACATCTTGAGAGGTCATATCACTTTTCGCCTTCACTTCCTGAGAATCTAGTTATCTAAGGATTTAAAAGAATAGTTTCATATCGTTTTTAACTTATTTTTTCATGCGAGACTTGAACTCACAACTAGTTGAAGTAAAATAAAATAGCGCATTCAATTTTTGAAGATAACTTCAATATAATAATGTTCTAAAGACATATATACTTTTATTTAACAATCAATATATAAAAACATAGACAATTTACAGAAACATACACATCAAATCAAGCATCATCAAAGATAAACATTGATATTAAATACATTTAATTTAGGTAAGCATAAACATATATTCTTAGGGCTGATTTTTCAATTGTTAGATAAAAGTTACCTGAGGAATAAGTATGATGCTGTCGCGTCAGAATGTTTGTATAAGACAGTGACAGCAACAATTTTATTTCTCAGATAACATTTATCTGACTATTGGAAAATCATTCTTAAATGTAATTTCCAAAATTTTACTAAAAGCTTTAAAATAAGTAGCTGAATTTTCAACCATATTACCAAATCCCATTAGGTTTAAAAATAAATAACTTACCTTCTGATGGGGAGGTAGACAAAATGATCCCTAATTCTAGAAAGTTCTTAGTCTAAGAAAGAAATTAGTAAATTACGTTAGTCTGATTCAGTGTTAGAAAACTACAACAATTACCCAAAAAATATGAAAGGTCTCATGTTCTCATCAACAAAATTATATGTCTGAACGATTGACATTTAATATCCACCAATCAGAACATTACATTTATTACTTAGGGCAATCCCATTGGTCAAATTTTGGCGGCAAATACGAAACCACAATATTTTGTTTCAGAGAACGGGCTGTTGTTAGTCTTTGTAAAAAAATGCTTGGTAGTTTATGGAATGCAATTGTGATAAAATATTTTTATGACTATTTGTAATAGATATGTGTATTGTACTTTTAAACAAAGAATGTTTTAATTGAATCAAGATATGTTTATTTTCATTCTTATCTATTATTGTGACTATGAATATAAAATATTATACATATGTTGTTTATTAACAATGATATTTTTGTATTATTATACAAAAATACTTCAAAGATCGAATCAAAACATAAAAAAAATTAACTGATAGAAATCTGTTAATTCTAAACGTTACACAAACGTCCCTTATTTTTTCTTTTCTACGGAATCAAATACTTTCGATGATATATTGATATAGCTTAGGCAAAAGTATACCTGGACTCTTGAGTCACTTCTCCGCTATATGTAATTTTGTCATGTTACAGCTTACAGGGTTTAAACCATCATATAATAAAGTTTTAGCCAGCAATCGTAATGTAAAATATTTAATTCAACTATCAAAAAGTATGCTATTAGACGTCATAAGTCTGTCATATATCATAAGAAATGAATAAAAAAAGTACAGTTTTTTACATTTCAATAAAAGTATTGAGTTTTACTTAAGTAGTTGTGAAATAAGACAAAGGTACAAGCATTTAACAAATACTGGTGTGCATAAAGCTTAATAAATAAATAAATTGAACAATATTTGGTATATATCTAAGTTACTATAGGAATGTATTTCATATTTCATTGGAATTATCATTAATTATCTTGATTTTACCAACTAAACATTGAGATAATAGAGATTACTTGTTAAAGAATTGCGCGATAAAGTAATTAGGTCAGCGAATTGCCAACACTAACTCATTAAAAACGTGTGTTATGACTGAACGTCGAATGACTGTCGATAGATGGCGTTGTTCAATACCGCGATGTAAAATCGATATTATTAAAAAAAAAGTTCATAATTCAAATTAATGCATTTAGACTGCACGGTACTTATAATGTACAGGAACCTCGGCCAAGAACAGGAGAAGGACCGGGTGCTTTTAAGTCAGTAAGAGTCTGACACTACCCTAACGGACTAGAAAAAAACTATAAGTCAATAAAAGACCGTAAAATTAGCTGGGCAACCGGCTTCGTGCAAGGTGTCGCGAGTTCTAATCCCACTCGGAACAACTCGCACGATTTAAAATTGTTGTTCCGGGTCTTGGTTTGATGTGGCTGTCAAATTGTATGTTTATAAATCCACGAAACAGGAGAAATACAGTGTAAGGAAATAGTTCACTTTTATGATTGTTTCTAAAAATGAACGTATACCAGCTGTCTTTTATATAGAAGAATCACAATAAAATTTTTACAATTGCGCAAGAAAAAAGCAAAAACCAATTTTTTAGAAACTTAAGCTGTAATAGCTTTTTAAAATAACCACTGAAAACAATATACAAAGCAATATGACCTAATATTATTTAAGTACAACATATAAACTTTATTAACATCACAAATAAATATAAATAGTAAATAAAAACAAAAAAAAACAAAATCCAATATTTATACCCAAAACATTGACCCCAAATTCCAAATACAATATAAAACTATGACGTCACGATTCACAAAAATATCCCTTTTATAATAGGACGAAACTTACTGATTTGATTGGACTATTTAAGTGGGATCCCTTTTTTGTGACACTGCCGATGACCTAAAATAATATTTTTATTAATATAATTTAAAAGAAACAACTTTTTTGTGCAACCATCCTTTAGTTCTGCAATATGCGACCTAATAAATATAAACATTGGAGTTTAAAATTAAATGTTTTTTAACTTTCTTTATTTATAATCATAAAATAATAATTTACAATTTTTTAATTGCAGCATTAAATGCAAATTGCAACCTAATATCTTAAGCAATGAAGTTAAGAATCAAATGAATTTTCTTTGATCCAAAATTTATATTTTCAGATAGCTTGCAAAAAACATTTCTATAGACAAGAAATGATTTTAAACTGAAGCAGTGTTATACTAAACATTAAAACCAAACTAATTGCCTATTCTCAAGAACATTTAAGTTTTCATTAAATTATGAGGTTGTCAAGACAATAATCGACAGTGGCGCCATCTGCTAAGCGCAAAAATGTGGATATAAAAATTAAGAAATTTCTAAATACTGACTAAGACAGGATGATTGATAAATATTTAAAGAGATTACTTTACTATTATAATGTAGAATTAAATAGATTAATCGTAGACTATCGTAGGATATACCTTTTTAATCTTAAAGGTAATAAATTAAAATAGTTCTAAGCAAAGAGATTACCATATAATCTATGAGGAATTAAAACAAATCTAGAACACTTGTAGATTGCTAGAATATTGAGTAATTAATACGGAAAATTAATTTTTTAATCTAATATAATCTTAAAACTAAAATCCTTTATTTCTATAAGATGTCTTAATTAAATCAGACATGATTATTGAAGCTTAGTTTTGATTTTTAAGACCTTATTAAAATCTAATATATATATTTTTTACTGTTTGCTATTTAAGCTTCTGACGGTATCTAAGTACATGTGTCGCCTGGACACTCAACCTCGCTACATTCTTGTTGACTAGAAATCTATTACTACAAGATTTTTTTAGCATTTTGAAAAAATAATCTAGATTTTAGCATCACATTATGAAAAGGCTATAAAATGTATGAGTCTGACTGAAACTTCAGTAGTATTGAAATGAAAAAGTTAGGAAATAAAGATTTGTATGTAACAGTCTTATATAATACATACCGTAGAACCATTTTGTATGGCTTTTTGTATGAGATAGTGAAGGTGTTTGCATGAAATTAGTTGTATTACTTTGTTATTGAAAAGCTGAACGAGAGTGAATGAATGGACTGGACAATGAAGTTTTGAACTGTGATTGTGAGTGAGTGAGTGAATGAATGAATGAATGGTGTAAAATTAATTTCTAGTGCTAATACTAGATTTAAATGATTTATACTTCACTAAAAAATGTGCATAAAAGAATTAAATTTTGGAGAATAGTCCAGACCTAAGATAAAATTAGAGAAAAACAATATTTACAAAGCTGCAAACCATAATAATCTTTAATGTCAAATGGAATAAAATCCAAAATTGATTTTTATGGATTTATGCCATAATATATACTAGAAAACACAACATGCAGAGTAAACATGACGCGACTAAAAATCGTTTGACACAATATTTTTAAATGAAGTATATACAGCGTGTTATAAAAATGGAAGGTGAAGTATATAGGGTGTTGTAGTAATGAATGTTTTGTTAACCCGTTGCCAGGGCTTTTCCGCTCGTTCGTCCTCGAATTCGATGGTCGGAACTCCAGTGTAGCCATAGTTATGTGTCTGAAATATAATAGTTGAAGATTAGTATGAAAGAAGGGTAGAAATTAAAGATATTCAATAGATTAGCGACCTTATTAAGTAGTTGTAGTATAAAGTTGAAATTTTATTGAGAGATTGGTAGTTAGGTAGGTTGTTTTGCTAGTGGGTTTATGTACCTGTAATTTTTGTAGATGTAAGATTGAAGATCATATATTTATGTTCTAAATATTAAGATTAAATACATAAGATTGAAGGCTAACAATTGGGTAGTTTCCTAGGTAAAAATAAATTAATTTGACGTTTCATCGATGACGATCGATCGATACTAAATAAGTAAGCTATTTGACGCAAAAATTATATGACGTCATAACTCAGTGTTTCATTCAAATTTAAAAGAAGTGTCGTTTTTGACATTTGGATAAAAGTATTGAATTTGACTAGTTGGAAACTACCGTTTTTTCCCACTTTACCCTAGTTGAATTAATTTTTATTTATTTTAATGAAACTACGATTCCAAATAATAACTGCCTTAGTCTAGTATACCTACACATAACATTCTTAACAATGTACAATACTGCCGACGTATCTTGGCGAGTCTGAAATTAGCCGATTAGCTGAGCAGAACATAATTTTGTTCCTAAAAGATCCATTGCGCAGACAAACGGCTAACTTCAGACTCGCCAAGATACGGCGGCCGTACTGTACTTCAATCCTTGAATGGCCTAAAGGCTGGCAACGCACTTGTCACACTCCTCCAGTATTACATGTGTCAATGGGCAGCGCCAATTGATTACCATCAGGTAATCCGTCAGCGCGTTTACCGTATAACACAACTTGAGAACGTATATTTTTTTATGGAATAGGTGGCAAACGAGCAGACGATCACCTGATGGTAAGCGATCGGCGCCGCCCATGGACATCCGCAACACCAGAGGAGTCACAGGTGCGTTGCCGGCCTTTTAAGAAGGAATATGCTCGTTTTTGAAGGTTTGAAGGTCGTATCGGTTCAGGAATACCGCCGCCGGAAGATCATTCCAAAGTTTTGCTGTGCCTGGCAGAAAGTTACGCGTGAATCGCACAGTTGCTGACTGCCAACCATCTATGTGATAAGGATGAAAAATTTTTAGCGTGGAACGATGGCGAAAAGATGCGGCGGGGATCAAACCCGAACCTAACAATTCCTCAGAACACTCCCCGTGATAGATGCTATAGAGAATACATAGCGAGGTATATTAGAATCTTTCCCAATTGTATTTGTTTTTAACCACGACGATGTAGTCAGGACAAGAATCACTACATAGTATAAAACAAAGTCGCTTTTTCTGCCCCTATATACGCTTAAATATGTAAAACTAAGCAAAGAATTTGGTGCAGTTTTTTTATTAGATATCTAGAGTGATTAAAGAGGACGGTTTACATGTATAATATCATCCATTAAATATTGGAGAAATTTAGCATCAGCATTACACGCGTGCGACGCTAAGTCTATATGCCTATTAAAAAATCAATACCACTTTTCGTTGTAATGTTGTAACTCAACAATACCTTTCCTGATTTAGCTTTTCATTTTGGTCTTGAATTATTCATGGAAGTCCAGAGAAGGTTTGTACGGAAAAATTATAAAATCGACATCCACGCGGGCGGAGCCGCGGGCTACCACTTGTACACTAAAAAATATTAAAACAAACTTGTATCGTGTAACTTGTAGTAAATATTGCGAAATATAAACAAAGAATTTAGATTAGCTTGCAGTAACTTTGTCATGTGTCTTTGTGCGTCGACTTAAGAGTTATCGTTATCGGGAACGTTGCCCCACACTACAAGGTTACGCCGTGATTCCATTAAAAGAAAGGTATCTTGTTACAATTAATAAGAGGTTACTGATAATAATATTAAAGTGATATTATTTTTTTATGTAATAGGTCGACAAACGAGCATACGGATTACCTGATGGTAAGCAATCGGCGTCAACGACACCTGCAACAACAGAGGAGTTACAAGTGCGTGGCCGACCTTTTGGGTATTAGAGATTGGGGGAGGGAAGGATTGGGCCTTCGGTAACCTCACTCTCTCGGCGAAAAAACGCTGTAGTTGTTTCATGACGGTTTTCTGTGAGGCCGTGGTATCATGTCGGTCGAATCGACCCATTCGTGCCAAATCATGGCTCTCTCACACTTACACACAATACAACTGTTGTTTTTATAACCAAAATATTATAATCAAACCTTCTTTCATTCAATCAGTGCCAGACCAGATAAAGGTTAAACAAGTAGGTATTTTCTTTAAAACAAAAGAAGAAATGGTTCGATACGATGTCTGATGTTTTTAATAAAACAAAACACAATCGATAATCGATCCGTGTGATATTAATAACAATAGGTACGTAAGGAGGATGGCATTGACTTTTTTAAAATTGAAAGATAGCATTTAATAATAAATTTGTTAATTTTCTGAGTCTGTTATTTTGGAGGTGCGGTTTCGAAACCTGGCAAGCACCAATGTGATTTTTCCGAGTTACACGTACCTACTTTCTGATTACTTAGACACCACTGACATACGGTAAAGGAAAACATCTTGAGGAAACGTGGACTTACAATGTAGGTATTTTTTTTTTAATTTGAAATTTGACTGCACGGTTGGTGCGGTGGCTGGGCAATTGGCTGCCATGCAACGTGTCACGGGTTCGATTCAGGCACGGAATAACTGTTAGTGTGATCTACAAATTGTTGTTCCGGGTCTGGGTGTCATGTGTATGTGAAATTGTATGTTTGCAACCGCACCCACGAAACAGGAGAAAATCTTAGTGTAAGCCAATGTTTTTATAAAAAAACTCCTTGAACAAGCATGGTGGTTAAGACTCAAACCATCTAGATGTGAGAAGAGGCCTTTGTTCAGCATGGGTCACTTATAGGCTTATGATGTAAGTATTGTAATAATATTTAATTATTTCGACAAAGAAACATCAACTGTTGCGATTATGGCACACCTCTTCCGTTTATTTAATCTATATATTTACACAAACAAGCTGATTGATACAATTAATTCTACGTATACCTTTTACTTTTAAATCCCTGGGATTTATTCAAATAAGTTAGTCATAAGTAATAAATTCTTTCTTTAAAATTTTATCGATAAACATTTTATTATTTTCTATAAATAAAATTTTTTTTCTAGTGAGTAAGTTACCCTTAATCGACACTAGCGCCACTGTGGCCTGATATGTAACAAACAAATAATTTTGACTTTACGTAGAATAAAAAAATAGGAAATATGTATGTATAAAATGATGGCTAACTATTAAAAAATTCTGTTGTCATTTTTATTAAATACGTACACCTGAAATTTTAAAACTAAGGAATTTGTTATTTATCCAAATGCGCATATCTCTGAAATTACTGGTTCGAATGGAAAGATTCTTTTTGCGTTACATAGTCCACTTATCGAGGAAGGGCATCACGCTACGACCAATGGGAGTCGAGCAGCGGGTGAAATATCGCAGGAAAAGCTAGCGGATAAAATTAGTATTAAGTACTTAATTGGTGTTAGATAAAGAAAAAATTAAAGCAATAAATTACATGTGCCGTAAAGATAATGCTTTGAAATCACTAACGAATTATTCCATATCGTCATCGTATTGTAAATGACCGTCACAAAAACGTTAGAAGTCATAAATTAATGTCGAGGAAGCGTCATTTTGTATTTCACAAATTAATCTTTCGTTATTTTCCATTTCGATTTAATAATTACATACAATAAATAAAAATATGTACGACTGTGTTTAAAGGGGAGGGATAGGGGGAGGGGAGGTTTGGGCCTCCTATAACCTCACTGACACAGCGAAACACAACTTAATTGTTGCTTCACGCCGATTTTCTATGAGGCCATTCGTACCGAAGCATGACTCCACACTTGCGTCTTTGAGATCAAACGCTATTCATTATTCTAAGATCTAAAAAAGAAAAATGCCTTTTTGTTGCCGAGGCAAAGTCAATGCGTTATCAAGTCACTAGGCACCGAGATTCACTTGTCCTGATAAAAGAATTACGCGCCTATATCGATGAGATACGGCACAGATTAGCTTTGTACAACATTCGTATTTTTGAGTGTTTAAAATGCTATGATAATGCATGCCAGTAATGTATGTTTCTTTTAAATCGTCTTGTAATGTAACACGACCACTTGCCAATGTAAAGAAAACAAAGAAATAAGCTGAAGTTGGTGCTAATTACACCCCTATTGCAAACGCCATGTTACCTTATCATTTATAATTATTTATCTTTAACCCCCATACTTCAATTTATAAAGGAGACTTCACTTAAACTACGAATTCTTAAAAGAAAATCTTACACATATAGTTAAAGAGATCCTAATTCGACACTAGCGCCAATGTTGTGAGTTCTGAAACAATTTGCCCACTGAACAGTTGTGATATAAAATCTATCTCAATGTTTGCACGATGACTGATATTTGTGATTGGTCAGTTCCAAATTGGAGTTCAAATGCGGGAAGACTACGCAAAACCATTATAAACTGACCGTCAAATGTGCGGAAATAACATTCAAAGCAGGACCATGATACGTAGGTATTTTTGTGCAATTGGATATGTAGCTGTGTGTACCTTTGATCTTGAATTTGAATATAAGGAAACGTTAATTCTATACGTAATAATATATATCAATGCAATAAAATGATAAATTATACTGTTTTTACACCGATACTGGTTTATGACTGCAATTATAAACATTTATTGTCTGATTAAAGGCGCTGAAAACATGCCAATTTGCCAGTAATTCCTACCGTAGATAACATTTTTGACATTTATAACAAAAAACGAATGGAATTTGACAAAGTTACTGTGTGCGGATAAGACTTGTGCGGATTTTAAGGTACTTTTTCAACGGTAAATATGACGAGACATACAATATCTATTGAAATAAAGCTCTACTAGTTTCAAGTCACAACGGGACTCTTATTTTATTAGTAGCTGTATTTTCTCGTTATCACGATACTAAGTCGTGTCTCTGTGTACGCTTAAATCTTTAAAACTACACAACGGAGTTTGATGCGGTTTTTTTAAATTGATAGAGTGAAAGAAGAGGAAGGTTTATATGTATAGTACTCGTTATAGTAACATCCATGAAATAGTGGAGAAATTTATTGTCAGCAATTCAGGATTGCGCCCGTGTGTAGCCCGGGCGCGTCGCTAGTTTTTCTTATAATAATTGTTACTATTGTCAACCAGTAGACACCCCACGATGGAGGCCGCCAACTGATGGCGTGACGATCTAAACGCCTATTGCCGAGACTGGTAGACACGGTCGAAGGATCGTGAGGTTTGGAAACGAGATGGGGAAGCCTTTTCCCAGCGGTGCAGTGGGATATTACAGGCTAGTAAAAAATGTTACTGTTAAGTCAAGCCATTATTTAGGAACAATTATAAACTTTCGTAATTGGAAGTTTTCTTCAGCTGTGGACGCGTTCCGGCTTATGATTATGATGATGTGATAGACCTTTTTCAATAGACAAAAATATTTTTGTCTGTACAAAAATATTTTTGTCTGTGTGTCCACGGTCCTAATTAAGGACCGTGGACACTTCTATCCACTGCTGCTTCTAGTCCATGTTAAATAATGCGGATGAAGATTTTTTCATACTACGATAGTTTATTACTTTAAATTATTACCTATGATTAAAATATTTAATACAAAATGATACATATTATAAATGCACAAAAGTAACTGTCTGTCTGTCTTTTCTTCACGCATAAACTACTAAACCGATTTGTGTCAAATTTGGTCCAGGCATAGTTTGGAACTCGAGAAAGGAGATAAGACGCCGTCTCTTCCTTCTGTGAAGCAGTTATGCTCGCAAAGAGGGAGGCGGCCCGCGTGAGGGAGCAATCCTCCTCCTTACGCCCCAGCCAGCCAGGCGGCACTACGGGCGTCGGGGATCAAGGGACGATCTCCGGCCACTGTAAGCGCGGGTCTGCGATCGGCGAGTAAGGGCAGCCGCTGCCCGACCAGAACCAGACCCAAGCGTACGGCGCGTAGAGTTCCGCGCGCGCTTTAAAGAGCCAATAGACCACCGCAGACGGGGCCCTATAGAGCTAATATTCAGGCGGGGTTGCGGGGTAAGCGCAATGAGGCACCGCGACCTCGGCCCTGGGTGGGAGAAGTCATTTGATGATTTTCCCCTCACAATAAAAAAATGTGGACAAGAGAAGAAAATCCAATTACCTTCATAACTTATTAACTATGTAGGTTATTTGCAGTTATCCACCAAAATGCTAGAAGGCTATTTTGAAAATATAAGGAAAAAAGCACTAAAAATATGGGTTTGTGTCTGCTTATTTAAATTGACTTACGTAGGTATAAAATACTAAAATTTATTGTTTTAATTTGTGATGCTGCTAAATTAGGCTAATTAAGCACAAACAATTGTTCGGTTGCAATTTCCTTATTCTAAAATTAAATTTTGCATTTAAAGAGTTCATAAGTTAGGCTTAGATACCTACATTTATATTTGCCACGTACACCCGCAATACCAGGAGTTACGCCCTGCCAGCCTTTTGGAGATTCGAATTTTAAAAATGGGCGTGGGAAAGGGTTTTAGTTCCGGGTCCTCATTCACAGGGCAAAACACAATGCTGCATTTGTTTCACAGTTTTCAGTGACACTTTTTGTTTTATAATATGTCACTAAAATGGTTAACTTCAACGGTTTAAGGTTGTTAACCGACTTAAAAAGAAGGAGGAGGTTCTCAATTCGCCAGTATCTTTTTTGTTATATATTATTTTTACTCAACATATGCATGAAATTATTTTGACCACAGATTTTGACATACCTAGTAATGTCATTTATGGTCATTATGTAGTATAGAGATACCAACTACAATTTTTGTATTATTGTTTCTTGCAGTCGGAGTTTGTAAGGGCAACCAGATAGCACAATAAAATACGTAATACCTATATTCGGATACAAAATGAGAATTTGAATAACATTAGAGTGATTACTAATCAAAGATTTAATTATTTGTGGAAGTCCAGAGAAGGTTTATATTTAGATAATATTTTAAAAATAATCTTGATATGGTGTAAAATCGACATCCACGCGGAGTCTAGGGCTAGGGCTTGTGTTGATGTAAAATTAATACATTTCTGATGAGCTTATTTGGAACTTGGCAACCATACGCTCAGAAATTCCGCTGATATTGCATTTATGTTGTTAGGTGCCTCGCTGAAAGAAGATACCACTGACAATGCAGTTTATATCTTAGGTGTCTGCATAGTATGGTACTGTTATTGTTCTAACAAATTGTACTAAGCAGTACTTAATTATTATTATTGGATTCATTGTTACATTTAATTTTTACTTAGTCAAAGAAGCAGAATTATAAATATGATATAAAGTACTTGGACATTATTTTGTTTTTTTTTTATTTTGAAATATTTATAACTATATTTTATTATTGTGATTTGTTTGCCATAAGGCATCATATTATGGTAGAACTATATATTATTTTTGAACAAAGAGTAAATAATTGTCTTAAATAATTGTACAAGATATTTTTTTATTAGATGTTTTTTTTTTGGTTTAATATTTGGATATGTATTGCCATCAATATAGTATCAAATTAAAAGTCAAAGTTACAGTTAGTAACAATCCTATGGGTATCAACTTAGTCACTTAGCTATGTTTATTAATATTTTGTAGTTTGTTTTGATATAAGGTTCAAACTTTTAGTCCACAACACTTGAATAATTAGTTAGATTTTATTTAATTGGAATGGAATATTTTTTTTATTTTAGTAGATCTTAGGCAGGTTTATAATGTTAAGGTGTAACATTAAAAGTAAGTATTTTCGGTAAGAAGTTTTAAAACTTTTTAAAACTTTTTTTTTAAATGAAGGAACTATTATTCATTTAAGTCATTATTTCTTCCTGTAATACCTATGACTTTGCAATGCTTGTGTTCGTAAAGAAAAAAAAACAAAACATACCGCGGCCAGTCTCCTGCTTCGGGGCAAAGGTTCAGGTTTGTCTGGATCACTCATTTTGTTTATGTTTTAAGAACACTTTTGTTTCACGGCATATACCAAGCGGAGATTATATAAATACTTTTTAACTAAAACGCTGCACCGGTACGCTCAGTGACACTGTCTGAATAAAACTGATAAAAGTCTGAAATAAACACAATTCCAGCCGGCAGAATACTGTCAATGTCAATCACAGATGTCAATCTGTCAAAGTGACAACTGATTAAAATACCTATCACAATTTTGATTGTGGACTATAGTATTTTTAGTAATTAAATTATATTGAGAATAAAATCAAAGCATAAAATTTTTTCGGTATTGCGGGTGCTAGTTTAGAGGTATGAGAGAAGAGGGTGGAAAGTTCCTCATTCTCCATTGAAAAGGGAGGATCCTCCTACCGGACTGGTGTTATGTCTGGTGTGCAGGTGGGCTACTGCCCGACGGATGTTGTCAGGATTTTTGTATCGGTTCTAATTGTGTTGAGAACTCTTATACCGCGATGTAGAATCTGTTGAATATTGTTCTCCGTCTATGTTAGTCGTCACATTACTGACTTGTGTGCGATAGATGTCGCTACACTAGTAAGGTTGCAGGTGTAAGCGCAATTATGAACGACAGCCGCAGGTGAAGCAGGTGAAATGGGTTGTTTTTGTGAGCGGAAAATCATCAAATGCCCTCGCTCACGCGGCGAAACAACACGCTGTGGTTGTTTCACGCCAATTTTCTGCGAGGCTGTGGTCCCACTACGGTGCAGCCGACTCATTCGTGCCGAAGCATGCCTCTCCCACACTTCAAATCGAAATGGAAATCTATAGAATGGGGAAACAGAGTGATGACACATAGCACAATGTAGGTATTACCGCTACGGTGTAGCACTACGCCACAAAAAGGCGAAATTATTCCGATGAACATATTTTTTTGTAATATTTTTAAATATTACAACATTGTGGCATTGTACAAACAAGTGAATACGTTACTTATAGGTAAGCGTGACCCATCGTCGTGGTGGCCCGGAGGTTAAGGCAATCGCATCTCATGCATGAGGGTGCAAAATTCAAAACCTGATCACTTGGTGGGCATTTTTCCGAGTTATATTATATACTTTCTATGATTGTAGGGGTCGCGACCGATGTGGTATAGACTTACTATGCTGATAAATTAAATACATAAATAACTTCAAGCATTTATTGCTAACAACGGTAAAGTTACGCTAAATGATATATGCTAATGAGTACGAACGCACCCGGTTTGCTGTCCGAATATGTACTGAGGCCGCGCTGCACGTGGCGTGTCGTGGTTGGATTGCTAGATCAGCAAAACGTGTTCGACCGTGGATAATGCATCGAACAATGATTATCTAAATATCTAGACACTATTGGCATACGGTAAACATCATGAGGAAACCTGGACTTATAATAAAATATAAGTTTTAAATTACCAAGCCTTGAGCTACCTTGGCGATTAATACTCAAACCTTCTCTGTGTGAGAAGAGGCCTTTGCTCAGCAGTGGGCACTAATGGGTTGATGATATGATGTGATGGGTGATCCATCGTAAGTCGCATTATCACTTACTACCAGAGGCCAAACGCAGCCCACAACAAAATGAAAAATATAGTATACAACACTACGACACAAAAATCGATGCATAACAGGTACATAGATATTTATGTACCAAAACTACGTACGTACTCGAAGCTTAAAGAGTCAAGAGCGAATTGGCTCAACAGTTTGAGTTCCGCAAACACAGATCACTTCTATATACATTCTACCAGTTATCTGCGTCCTGACAGTTTGAGTACTTGCGCGACCCAACCAAATGTTCTTTGGATCGGTATTGTTCGTCGGACAACTCAGCAGCACTTGCTATGCTGGTTGCAAACTGACACTTGCGTGCCTGTCTTCAGAACGGGTCCACTTAAACTGGTGTGGTTCTTTCATCAAAAGACCACTACAGAATGAACTTGCACGGTTCTCTCATATTATGTTATTTTTACATTGTCTGGACTTGAAAAGAGACTGACCTCTGAGTTTGTTTCGGCATTTCTTCTCAGAGTAGTCAGATAGGAAATGCCGGCTTCATCTAGTTTTTAACCGACTTCAAAAAAGGAGGAGGTTCTCAATTCGACGCGTATTTTTTTTTTTTTTTTTATGTATGTACACCGATTACTCGAAGACGCCTGGACCGATTTGCAAAAATCTTTTTTTATTCGATAGGGTATACTTGCCATTTGGTCCCATTGTCATGAAGTCAGGATCTGATGATGGAATCCTGGAGAAACCGAGGGGAACTTTCGAAAATTGTAGGGGCGAGTAGGTTTTTTGTATGATGTTTAAGTAGACCTTTAACAACACTACAACTTGACGAAGGTCGAAGTCGACCAGATGTTGGAGCTGGAAGACAGTGAGGGATCTCCTTGACTATTTGGAGTAATTGCCTTGTGTTTGGGCTTGAATGATTCGTATTGGCGAGCACTTTGCAGCAGGCTTGGTCGTAACTGTCATTAAGGGTCTGATGATGAGAACGAAGGACAGCTCAGGGAACTCCTGAACGGTTTACAGTAACTACTTCGTGTTTGAACTTAATTCATTTATATTGATGAAAACTTTGTACCTGTAGGTATGTATCATAACAACTGAAGGTCTGCAGTTTACCTGATGATGGAGAAAATTGACCGTCGAGGGAATTCCGGATGGAAACGAGAGACAGTCGAGAGAACTCCTCAACGATTCATAGCAGCTTCCTTGTGTTTGAGCTTAATTTATTCGTTTTGATGAGAACTTTACACCTTAATGGATTATGGCTGTCATTAGGGATCTGATGATGAAGACGAATGACAGTCTAGGGAACTCCTCAACGGTTTACAGTAGCTACCTCGTGTTTAGACTTAATTTATTCATATTGTTAAGAACTTTCCCTCTCCTAGAGAGATAGCCTGTGTCCCAGTAGTGGGAACATTAAAATGGCTGATGATGATGATGATGATGATGATGATGATGATGAGAACTTTCCCATTTCTTGGGATCTATATTTTTTAATCGGGCGGCTCCATTCGTTCACCTACACATAGCTACTTAAAAATATATACTATTCAATATGTTAATTTATATTTAAAATATTACTGTAGTTTACAGAAGAACTTGCAACTGATACTAAAAATAAAAAAATAAAAAAACTACGTTTAAAAAAACCGACTTCAAAAACAAAAAAGTGTCAAATAAGTAATTAAAATTGATATTTTAATACCACTCTTACGTACGCGAAGCTAATACTTTTAATATTAATAATAATACACTATCAATTCTATGTGCTACCAATTCATAGGTTTGAAGTCGGTGCCAAGCCCTAAACAGAATAAAACTAAATGAGAATTAAACTTTTAACAACCAAGTACGAGAAAACTTTCAGAATTCATAATTCATCCAAATATCTTTCTAAGCTATATACAGTTTCGCCGGTAACGGAACCATATAGACTTCTGATTCTACGCTAACGCCATCAAGTTAGAAAATCGGTACTAAATTTCTTAAATCCTAACAAATAAATTCAAACGCTCCCGGCGAGTTTAGGTACTCATGTAATCATGCTTATTATATTATGTATTAGGCTTGGCACCGACTTCAAACCTATGAACAGGTAGCACATAGAATTGATAGTGTTTTATTATTAATATTAAAAGTATTAGCTTCGCGTACGTAAGAGTGGTATTAAAATATCAATTTTAATTACTTATTTGACACTTTTTTGTTTTTGAAGTCGGTTTTTTTAAACGTAGTTTTTTTATCACATATAAATTGACGTGTAAAAGTGCCGTTTTATGGCCTATTTGGCAAAAATAAATTCATTGTTTCATTGTTTCATTATTACTCTGCCAAGTCATTGGTGCGTGTACACTTACTTACTTTTTATCATTATTTTTCTAATTGCCAGATTAATAATGCTTAGTATTGTCAAGTTCCAAGGAAATCGAGAGAAAGCTTCCGACTCTTACTGACTGAAAACCACCCCGTTAGTCTTCTCCTCTCTGACTACCGTAAGCGCGGATCTGCGGACGGTGTGTAAGGGTAGCTCGCCGCCCGACCAGAACCAGACTGCCAAATCCGATGAAAGAGCCAATAGACCGCCACAGACGGGGCCCTATAAGGCTGATATCCAGCCGGGGTTGCGGGGTAAGCGCAATGAAGCACCGCGACCTCGGATCATAGCAGGAGAAGGGACAGGGGCGTTTTTAGTCAGTAAGAGTCTGACACTCCCTCCTGCCCGACCCTGGGCGGGAGAAGTCATTTGATGATTATCCCTTCACACGGTTACGGTTTTTATAAGGCTGATCTTGTTCTATCCTCAAATAAAAAAGAAGAAGAAAAACCAGTACATTTTTATAACATTAGAAATTCATTGAAATTCTTTTTTATTATATTAATCTTTTTTTGTTTTTTTTTGTTTTTTAAAAAAAACGTTGCCCTACTTTAGGATTTTCTCCTGCGTTGTGGGTGCATTTACAAACATACAATGTCACATACACATTACACCCAGACCCGAAACAACAATTTGTGGATCACACAAAGTGTTGTTCCGTGCGGGAATCGAACCCGCGACACGTTGCACGGCAGCCAGTTGCCGAGCCACCACACCAACCGTGCAGTCAATCTTGTGAGACGAAAGCAAGTATCTCTGTCAGAAATGAGGGAGTAGAATTTTCTCGAATGAAAAATGTAAGGTACCCTAAAAACGGGCTTGTTGTAAATAGGGGTGGCTATTAAATGTACATTATATACATTGTATGTACAGCAGTTATCGATCAAAATTTGTCTGGGTTATGTATGTGTGTGTGAAACAAGCGTAGGTGTGCAGACCAGGGTTCTTCACCCCAACCTTAGGGAGGTGATGATGTCGATACATTCTGGATCAATAACTATAAAAGTAACAGATAAATTATACATATATTGCCTAAATATATTATCATAAGTACTTTTTTAAGAAGAAGTAAATCATTTATACCAACTCTGTTGGTTGGCAATCTAGTTCTTAAAGTGTTAGAAAATTAGGTAAGATTTTTTT